GTAACACTACATTATAAATTAATAGAACACAGGGAACAAGTTATAACACAAATATTGTCCTAATCATTCGACTTCTGTTCATAACAATAAACGGGTTTAATTTTAATAATAGACATAGGGAACAGTCAAATTAATATATGATATTAGTACACAAAGTCATTGACACTTGATCTGAACCATATTGAATAACCTAACCTATCTGGTTGAAGTCATCAAACGAATCTTGATTAACGATTAGAGATGTTAGATGATGTGGATTGGAACTAATTAAAATGGAACAAATCTATTCATTATTTTTTATCTTTTAAATCTTGAATTTCAGAATTCTTTCATGTATACCTTTTTATTCATTTCTCCTAAACTATATTCTTAATGTTCATTCCTTCCCAGTATGAATACTTTTACTCTTTTATCATTTATCTGGTTAATTTGATCATATGATTTCAATAGAATATGGGAATTTGGGCAAACATGCATATGTATCAGATTCTATGTTGATCAAGACTAGTCCCCAATATGTAATAAATAATTAATTTTTAATAGGATTCGAAGCCAGTAGGTCCTGGGTTCGAATCCCGCGGGGTGCGGAATCGTGGATGCGCACTGCTGAGGAGTCCCATACTAGGACGAAACGGCCGTCCAGTGCTTCCAGGTTTCCAACGGTGGTATAACATCAATTGATTCATGATCTCAACCAAAAACTTAACAATCTCCACAACCCCCATACTGATAATTTATAATAGTTAAATTCATGAACCGATTTAAACCAGATCACTAGTTAAAACCTGGAAAGACTAGACAGCCGTTTCGTCCTAGTATTGGACTCCTCAGCACGCGGGGTTGTAGATGCATACTGTTGATTATCCAGAGTGATGTGGTTTCAAATTGTTTTCACATTATTGTTTTCTTTATAATCCTTGTCTCTTCTTACCCACACCCTCTCATTTCTAGTCTAGTTGGCCTTTTATTTTTAATATATAAATATTCTTAACAAGTATATTATGTGTGATCAGACTGTTCGAAATGTATTGCTCTAATAATTATCACATAGTTCTGATAATCTTCATCTTTTAATTGACTATTATTTTGAGCTATAGTTAGTCATAGTTAAGATCGCCTCAATTATTGTATAAAAAAAGGTCCTGGGTTCGATTCTGGCGAGGTGGGATCGTGGATGCGCACTGCTGAGTAGTCTCACAGTAGAACGGAACCGCCAACCTGAAAGCACTGGACGTCCGTTTCGTCCTAGTGGGTGACTCATCAGCAGTAAGCATTCGAGATCCTACACGAGTGACTTGAACCTAGGACCTTCGGTCTCATGCGTGAACGCTTGACTTGTAGAACATTGAGTCAGCATTCAACATACCAGGATGAAACGACCATCCGGTGCTTCCAGGTTTTGAATGGTGGACTAGCTTAGATAGACTCATGAATTCAACTATTAAAATCACTTCAATCTCCACAAATCCCCATTCTAATAATAATGACCAATATGTTAACATCACTAAACTATACACGCATATAAATTCACTGAATGACATTTAAACTTGTTAAAAATGAACGGAGCATGATAAAGACGAAATCGTATGTCAAACACATTCTTTTTCTTTTTACCACTCTTCACTTCATCTCTTCCAACCGTGTGGTATGTAATCAGTTGAATAAACGGTACTTTAAATGTTCAACCATGATTTCTCATTACTTTTATTCCTATATATATATAGCGCCAAGTTTATATTCCGCAGACATATTTATTCAAATGATTCCCAATATGTATCTGATATTATTTTGAACAATACACAGTCGTTAAAATGACAAAAGGCTCATTGTCCTTAAGTCATTATCGCATTGACTAATAACAATGAGCCTCGCCTTATGTTTGATGTTCTCAGGGTAATCAAAAAATTACAGAACTACTTCTTCATAAATGACAGATTTATTGTAGATTGTTTTAAGAAGTGAATGATTAAGGTCAATTTAATGTTGTTGAGATTGATATAGCTGGCAATCAGTACGTTTGATAATCATGCCTTAATGTTATGTGTCAGTGAATAATTGACGAGATGTCAACAAAAGATCAATATATTGCAAATCAACCGCTTTGTCCTAGCACGGAACTTCTCTGCAATGGGCATTCATAATTCCGTACGCAAAAAAACAAACTCAGGACATTCGGTTTCGTGTGTGAATGCTTAATCTCTAGATCTTTAAATCCTATACTGGTCAACTATACCAGTCAGCCGATGTGTTCCTCAAGTTAAAGTAAGAAATCCTATCTGATGGAGTTAAAATATATTGTGAGTAAAATATTTGTCACCGTTAAAATTTAATAGTCATGGCACTATACTATAAACTGACTGACGTTGAAATTATACCATCAGATACTGACAAATTGTTTATAATGATGAGGCACTCTCCACAAGAACTCACTTTCTTGTGCTTTTTCTCTGGTCATATGGTAGCTAATCAATGGAGAAAGACCTTATTCTAGGGCGAAATATTTGTCCATTTCCTACTGACATTCAAAATGATACCTTAAGTAAGATCAATCAGTGGCGAATCCAATCTATAGCTTACTTATATATTCAAGATGAATATCACTTACTTACTTACCTACGCCTGTTACTCCCAATGGAGCATAGTTCGCCAACCGTCATTCTCCACCCTACTCCGTCCTGTGCCTTTTTTTCTAAATCTATCCAACTGTTATTCATTCTTCTCATGTCTGTCTCCATTTCTCGGCGTGATGTATTCTTTGGTCATCCTCTTCTCGTTTGGCCTTGAAGATTCCATGTGTCTAAGAAAAAATCCCGCTAAAGATGGACATTTGTCTCCCCTAAAAATACAACACTAACCTTATTGTATCAAACAAATGTTATTTAATTAAACTTAACCATTGAAAAACACATTCAACTATACAGTGACAGTTTTCTTTCTTCTTTTCTTCCTTTCTCTTTTTTTTCAATGAAAAAGACTTGCAATGACGTGAAAAAGTTCTTCCTTTTCCTACATTTTTCCAAAGACATAATTAAAAAAAGCAGACATTTGAAGTAAGCTAAAAGAAATGATACACGAAAGAAGTATGAAAGTGAAGGAGAGAATGAGAGAGAGGTATTCAGTGTGTATTGGATTGAAGGAAATAGTGAAAGTATAGACAACACAACAGAACAAGAGAGTACATTATATATGTACATAGAGAGAGAGATGGGTTCATGGTTTCAGTGAAACTCAACTATCTTTACAACCTTATACTGATAATTATCATATATTCACTGATGACTAGCTCTGAGATGTAACTCCTGGGATTCTAATGAGAAGTCATGATTAATGGAGCTAACCTGTGTCAGATATAAGATAGATATACATCTCAGACAATAGATGAAGGGTTGCGTAAGATGATGCATTAATTGAAGTTAGACATAAACATCAATAGATGCCGGATGAGTTGTCTAAAAGTTAAGCTTTCGCGTGCTAGACTTAAACATCATGACTTTATATTCCCTTTTATGAGGAGATTGCGTGCTATGATGAAACGGCTATCTAGCGATTCCAGGTTTTCAATACTGATCTAACATTGATTGGTTCATGGTTTCAATGGAACTCAACAATCTCCATAGCCCTAAACTGATATATAAATATATATAATCTTCATACTTCTTTAAGAAATGTTAGAAGAAATTCACCTAATGAATATGTATCTCATTTGAAAGAAAAAAACAACAATCTACTTGATTTTTTCATTCGAATTAACATTATCTATTTGTAAGCAAAGGTGGATAATGGCTAGCGCATTTCGTCCTATGTGGGACTCGTCAGTTGGACGTACCTGCATTCTAGAGTTGATGTTCGCTCCGGGACTCCAACCCAGTACCGTTCGCTTCAAGCGCTATCGCATTATCCACTTAGCTACTGAGTTCCAGTAACCATCTGCTTCTGTCATGGGTTGAAATTTAAATTCACTTGTTGTTGTTTTACTTGTATCTTCCCATTGTTATTTAGTACTGCAACTGATCAGTCTTTTGCTGGTATATGTGCAACTCTCGGATGCAAGTACATCCAGCTGACGATTTCGAAATAGAATGAAACACGCGTCCTAGATTCCACCGCTAACCACCATCTATCTTTGCTTATAATGCTTGTGACTTAAGGCTATATCGAGGCAATACGCACAGGATTTACATATGGCAACAAGAGACTGATCGAAATACAGTCTTAAATAACAATGGAAATAAACAAGTGAAACAACACCAAGTGAATAATCTATTTGTCTACAAACAATTTAACTGATAACTTTTATCATTCCATTTTCAGTCGATCAAGCTTTGACATGTACTGTTCTATATTCATTTTTCAATTTGGAATAAAAATGTGCATTAGTAAAGGTGTGTAATTTACTGTTTAGGGATGATTACACTTACTCAATATCGCATTACATTACAAGTTGTTTTGTAGCTGGTAAGTGTCTAGCAGTGTATTACAGGATCCTCATCTCTTCCTATTCGGGGCTTATCGACTGGATGTACCTGTTGCTACATCTCATTGTTTATGTTCGCACTGACACTTCAATCCAATATCTTTTGTTTCTATACTCAATGCTAGCTATACATCAAATATATGGGAATTTGAGAATATGAATTACGTCTTTTGTTTTAATTATTAACGACTGTTATTCCTGAATAAGTCATGTGTATATGAGTAAAGCTATAGGGTAGCCAATGTAATCAATCATAGAGACCGAAAAACGTTTATGCGATTAATGATCATCCTTTTATTATTAAAACCAATAGAGAAGCATGAAACTGATATGTATCAATCAATAAGCTTCAGCCATACATTGTGAATTTATTACCTATGACATCATATTTCTTTCTGTCACTGCCCTTCATCACTTTGTGTATCTTCACTTCAACTCCGTTGACAACTATCAACTTAAGTATGATTCAATTAAAACATCAATTTATTTAATTATTTATTTTAATGGTTATTTCATTCGATTCTAGGCTCATGTTGTCTCAGCTTTTGAACAAAGTTTAAACAATATGTCACAACGACTACAGAATTTATCAAATACCACAACAAGAAAAGTAAGCGATGTAATTTCATGTTGTTTCTTTTGACTAATAAATCCTTACGATGTAAACTGATTAATTTGGATTCTTGTAACAACTTTATGTGTAATAATGAATGAATGAGTTTGTAATAAACTGATTGATTGATTAACCGGATATTATCTCTACTTGAATGTGAACCGGTAAGTTGTTATAGAAAAAGCAGATTCTAAACATAGTTAGTTTATAAGCAAAGATGGGTAGTGGCTAGCAGTGGAATCTAGGACACGCGTTTCGTCCTATTTGGGACTCGTCAGCTGGATGTACTTGCATCTCAAAGTTGAATAGGACGAAATATACGTCTTGGATTCCACTGCTAGCCACTATCCATCTTTGTTTATAATGCTTGTGACTTAAGGCTATATCGAGGCAGTCTGCACAGGATGCACATATGTCAATAGGAGAGATTGATCAATTACAGTTCTAAATGACAATGGGGGAGATACAAGTAAATAACACATAGTGAATAGCTGGTTTAGTAACATTAAATTGTTACTAAGAGTAGAGTACACAATATATATGCATTTCTTCCTAGTTGTTACTTGTCACATCTAGATGTACCTAACAAGTCTTTTATACGGTAAAATGTGGCCTCTTGAATTGCGTTGTTAGCTGAAATTCAATCTAACTAAAAATAATCATGTAGTCAAACTATGATATTGAAGTGATTCACTCAAGATGACAATAGAGATTGATTAGTTTCAGTTCTCAATAGGTAGACTGATTAAATAATACAAACTCCTATAAATAATCGATTTAATCCAACTTGCTTATTGTCTTTTCGATCAGTGTCACTCTATATATTTTCCATTTATCCCATTGTTATGAACATCTCGAGTAACTTAAAATGCATAAGAGGAGCTGTCACTTCCCAGTTGGACACACTGAGGAGGGAGGCTGCTTCTTGAGAGACCTGAAGAAGAAACTAGGTTGAAGATGGTCATGTCAATTTAGGAATGTAACTGTAGACCTCAAGGAACATTTATCTGAAATCACTCATGAATGACTTTTTGTGGACAGATCTTGATGTGTTAACGCTGTACGTTAAGGGCCTTACTCCAGAAAACAAAAGCCTATAGAATAAGGTAAAGTGTGATAGTTTTATTCCCGACCAATTACTCTTGTTGTTGGAAGTCAGCATGACTGCAAATTATAATTGTCTGAGAGTAATACCTTACTACCATTACACCTCCATACAGATAGCGGTATGACTTTGCTCTAGGATTTCAAGTTGCAGCCTTCAGTCTTATTATTCTTCAGCTGACCTACCTAATATGGTAGAACCTGAAGAAATAGATATTCTGACCATGATAGCTCGATTCCGTCATCACAATAGGCAAGCCAGATTACCGTGTTAAACATGCAGCTATTGTTAGGGATATCAACATCATCACCATCATCCTTATTCATCTACTATTCAACAACTAATGTTTATCTGAATTTAAAGATCATTTACACTTGAAGATGAAATTGTTGTCAGTTGGCAGTTCATTAAAACAAAATTAGAATGAATTTAATCCCTTCTTTTCCAATCTAATTTGAAGCTGTTCTATATTGAAGATAGCTTACAATTATTCCTAATGATGAAACATTAAAAAACTATCTTCTAATGTGGGATAGGTTCTTTTTACTCGACAGTGTCCGGCAAATAATTACCGCATAGTCATAATCTTCCAAATAATCAAGAGAAGAAAAAAAAACAGGAATTCAGGAAAAGTTTAGTATTCAAAAACGGTTTATCTACTAATGACTTTGATATTGGAATACAATAACATAAAATACTAAACAGAATGAGGATCCCGCGTGTAGGATTGTGGATGTGCACTGCTGAGGAGTCCCATACTAGTGTGGTATGTTCTGCTGATGTCGACAGATATAAGTAGTATGTATCATCAACTTAAAGTAAAATGTCTGGCGGTAGAAAGTTAAGAAGATTAGAGAAAAGAGAACGAGAAGAGAGTGACTGGTGTAGAAGCGAAGGAATAACAAAGTTTTAGACAGTTGATGGATATTTTGAAAATGAAGAATTTACTGTATGAGTCTCAGATTTTACTATGAGATTCTGTAATTTTGTATCAAAATACATTCGGTTGTCCCCATTGGTGTTCTCATTCACTACACTAGGACGAACCGACCATCCAGTGCTTTAAGTAAGTAATACGAATGAATTATAATTTACCCATTGGCACAATCTAATGGCTATCTGGACCCAGTAGCTAACGGAATAACGTGATGGGGTTTAAAGTAAACGGTACTGTGTTAGAGTCCTGGATTGAACATCAACGCTGGGATGCAGGCACATCCAGCTGACGAGTTTGAAATAGAACGAAACGCCTGTACTAGATTCCACTGTTAGCCACCATTTATCTCTACGCTTATTACGATTGTGATTTACGGCAATATCGACGCAATCCACTTATGATGAACATATGCCAATAAGAGAGACTGATCATTGGAAAGATTCAAACAACCAATACAAAAAGATATTAATTTTTCAATAGTTTGTAAACATTTAATGAATGTGCGCTAGTTCATGTGATTATCATACACAATTAATCAATGAAAGCCAATCATAGACAATAGGACAGGACTGTACAGGAAGACCCAGGACAGAGTGAGTTGGAGAATGCTGGTCGGGGCCCTATACTCCATTGGTAGTAACAGGTATAGGTAAGTAAGTAAGTAATCCAAGGCCATAGCATCGATGACGGTATATGTACGTTAGGAAGACGTTTGAATGGGATCCCGATATTGTAATACAAAGTAACTTGAATTAATTCACTATTGTATCAAGTTATACAATTACTGTAATTTAGTATATATAAATATATAATTTTTTTGCATTATTTTTTCTTCGAAAGGATTCAGAACTACATGAATTAAGAGCAACAATTGATGCATTACGTAGTCAAACAGAATTAGGACTATTAAAAAAACCACCAATTAATCGACCTTGTGAATTGAATAGATCATTTACTAATGATACATTGAAACAACAAGATAATTCATGTATTTCTACTACTACTACTAATACTACTTCTACTTCTACCACTACTATTATTACTACTAATACTACTTCCAATACTGGTAGTAATAGTGAGAATGAACAAGCACATATTAATTCACGTTTAACAATTTCAAATGCAAGTCTTACTGATGTAGATAGTCAACAATTACAAATGGATAATTCAATTGATAAAGTATCATCTACCACATCCGGTTGTAAATCTTCAGGAACTAATGTGAAGAAAAATGGATGGGTAAGAAATTTTGGTATACATATTCTAGATATTTTGTAAGCAATGATGGATAGTGGCTAGCAGTGGAATCCAGAACGCGCGTCTTGTCCTATTTGGGACTCGTCAACTGGATGTACCTGCATCTCAGAGTTGATGTTCACTCTGGGACTCGACCCCAGTGCCATTCGCTTTAAACGCCATCGTATAATCAACTCAGCTACTGAGTCCTGATAGCCATTTGCTTGTGCAATGGGGTGAATTAAAATTCACTATGTATTGTTTGGCTTGTATCTTTCCATTGAGGTTTAAGACTGCAATTGATCAGTCTGTTATTGGCATATGTGCATACTGTGCGTATGCCTCGATATTACCTTAGTTCACAAGCTTTTTGGGAAGATACAAGCCAAACAATATCAAGTGAATTTATATTCTAGATAGTTTGTCTTGTGTACAGTTGTTAATGAAACTGTCTAAACTTACGAACTATAGTGTTTTTGTTTAGTTCACTTGTGATTAATGGTGGAATCTAGGGCGCTTATTTCATCACAATTGATTGATCACTGGGTGGTGATCAATGTCAAGTTTGTCAAATCTTTCTTAGTGAAGATCAAATGCTATCGACCAAGTTGTAATGTGGCCACTTGTCTGTTCCTGTCGACTACCTACAGCCACCATCTAATCTCAATATAATGCACGCAATGTCGAGTCACTTAGACTAGTGGCCACATTGAAACTTGGTCGATAGCATTCGATCTCAACTAATAAATACTTGATACACATGAGATTGATCACCACCTAGTGATCAATCAATTGTGATTACATCATAGTCCTACAGGAGGTCGGTCACGGCCCGGATAGCCTAGTGGTAACTTCTCTGACTGTGAGTCTGGGTGACACCGGATCGAATATGTCAAGAGGCACCAGTTCCCTCAACATTACAGGTATACCTTGGAGATGAGTGCTAAGTAGCACAAAAACCGGGTCCAGGGTTCCCTCCAATCACCTTCTAAACGCTTATTTCATCCTACTCGGGAACCATAACAGCTGGATGTACTTGTCATATCCTAATATTGTTGATTACATTAGGACTCGAACCTAATGCTTATAACTAAATGGCAATATTGAGCCAATCCGCACAGAATGCAAATATGCCAATAAGAGACTGATCAATCGCAGTCCTAAACATCAATCGGAAGATTCAAATAACACAATACTAAATGAATTGATACTTTCGTTACTTTACATTATAGATTTAACTCAATAAAACTATTGAAGCACTAGTCAAGTTTTTCGTCCTAATATGTAATCTATCAAGGGATCATGGACTAACTGTATTTTGATAACTGTTAAAAACTACGAACTACTAAATATGTTCCCTCCTAGTATGAAACTCCTCACTATTGTGTGTCCACAGTACCATCTAGGGGTTGAACCCAAGATTTTCAGGCTTTGTGATAAGCACCTAACTTTTAGATCGCTCAGATAGCATTCGATCATCGTTCGTTGTTGTTGATATCCATCTAATGCTTAGTGTGGCTAAACTCCATTGGTCCTATCTTCGCAATAGAACTTCAGGAATTACTTCTAGAAGTTAGTCACCTATAATCACATGAAATGTTTCTACATAAGGAATTGTGAAAATTGTCGAATTAAAAGTAACATATCACTTACTAGCATCGAGTCTTTAAGGTCTTGCATTCTATCGCCGATGAAGCCGTCAATGACCACTCCTTGAAGAGTTCCAAATTAGAAGGAAACAGCTATCTAGTGATTCACCCGAACTTTCAATGGTAACTCAACTGAAAACTTACACTTTTTACCTCTTGTGAAGAGGCATAGATCATCCATTAGCATTCTCCATTCAACACTATCATGAACAATCTTTTCCAGTTCTTTCAAGTTGCTATTAATACTTTTCATGTCTACTTCCAATTCCCGACGTGGTGTGTTCTTCGACCTTCCGCTTTTTCATTTCCCTTCAGAAGTCCAAGTTAGGGCTAGCTTCTTGATGCGTTTTGATGATTTCCGTAATGTCATATCATATCCACTTCCAATGTCTTTTCCTGATTTCCTCCTCAGCTAGAGGTTGGTTTATCCTCTCTCATCGTAGACTGTTACTAATGGTTTCCAATCAACGAAATCAATCCATGATAAATACAATCCACATATTGAATAAATGTTCATAAAACACATTCCGTTAAACCCTTATTATTATTATTATTATCATAAATGTATTTGTTAGTTGACCTTATCTAGATTAATTGGTTAAACATTGTTGATTAATTAATCATCTCTGTGAATCAATAAATAGGCCAACTAACGCATATATTCAACTATGAATAATCCTAATCATAGTTTCACCTGTTTCATTTGGGCTTCTTTCTTTTCGTTTCTTTTCTTTTCTTTTCTTGTTTTCTTTTTCTCTTCTTGTTTCATTCATTTCTCTCTTCTATTGTGAACTATTTATGCTTAGGCATATGTGTGTATATGAATGTTATTGGGTAGCTTAGTTGTATGCATTATGAAATTCATTGGAATTCTAAAAGTGAAACACAGTTGTATTCCATCAGGCTTCCCTTCAACAGATACATTATCATTATTATTGTTATTGCATTATTATGATTATTAATTGTACATACTTGATGGTGAAATGATTAATACCTTAGAAAAATTGCTATTCAGTATTTGATTACTGTAATTTAGGCAGGAAAACGAATTCTTCTAAATAGGTGCTTATAAAGATTAGTGTGTGTGTGTGGATGGGTGGGTGGGTGGATGTAGAGAGAGAGTGAGAGCGAATGAAATAATTTACTTTCATTGTTTACATTGAAATTCGAACTTCGATTCTTGGTCGACGGTTCTTACCATGCAACAAATCACAAGAGTAAAACCGTGACGGTATATATGTTTACTTACTTACTTACACCTGTTACTCCCAATGGAGTATAGGCCGCCGACCAGCGTTCTCCAGCCCACTCTGTCCTGGGCCTTCCTCTCTATTTCTATCCAATTGTTGTTCATTCTTCTCATGTCTGTTTCCATTTTCCGGCGTATTGTGTTCTTTGGTCATCCTCTTCTCGTTTGACTTTGAGGATTCCATATAAGGGCTTGTCTTTTGAAGCTCCCCTGAAGCTAGTCGTTGTTGTCCAACCTGCATCCAATGTATCTCCTTATTTCTTCAGCAATTTGGAAGACTCTCCCGGTCTCCCACATTGTACGAGCATTCCATGCACCCAAATTAATAGTTGCTCTGGTTGTCAGAAGTGGCACCAGCCTTGTGACTTCCGAAGGAACATGGCTTTCACCATGAGGCGTGATAACTCTTCTGAATGAAAACCTTCTGACTCCCAGATCAGAGTTTAAATGGTTTGAATTATTTTTTCTGGTTAGCGTTTCTTTAACCAGCTAGTTTTCTACGGGATGTGGTCGCTAACCCCATGCCCAACCCTCTCCCTTTATCTTGACCTGGGACCGGCAGTAGCCCGAGAGGGGTTCCAGGCGGAGTTATGTATATGATTAGTATGGAGGATTTGTGGAGTTTGTAGAATTTTCGTCTTATGGTCGACTGGATTATGAAGACCTCGACATTTGAGGGAAAGCACTGAATACAATGGACAACTAAGAATCAATTAGAAGATTTGAACTTCACAGATGACCTGGCCCTTTCATCCCATACACATAAACAAATGAAGATGAAGACAACCAATGTGGGAGAAGCCTGTGCAGCACTAGGCATCAACACACATATGGGAAAATGCGAAATCCTCAAATACTACACGGTGAACACCAACCAAATCACACTTGATGGAGAAAATCTGGAAGATGTGGAAAATTTCACGTACCTGGGAAGCATCATTGATGAACAAGGAGGATCAGATGCGGACGTAAAGATGGGGATCGACAAAGCAAGGACAACATTCCTACAACTGAAGAACATGTAAAACTCAAAACAGCTGTCAACCAATATCAAAGTCAAAATCTTTAATTTGAATGTCAAGACAGTTCTATTGTATGGAACTGAATCTTCTAGAACTGCTACAACCATCATAAAGAAGGTACAAGTATTTATAAACATTTGTTTACGCAAGATACTCAATATCTGTTGACCTGATACCATCAGCAACAACCTATTATGAGAGAGGACAAACCAACATCCAGCTGAGGAGGAAATCAGGAAAAGACATTGGAAGTGGATAGGATATACAATACGTAAATCACCAAAATGCATCACGAGACAAGCGCTAACTTGGAATTCTGAAGGGAAACAGAAAATGGTAAGACTAAAGAACACACTATGTTGGGAATTGGCAACAGACATTAAAAAGATCAATAGCAACTTGAAAGAACTGGAAAGGATTTTCCAGGACATAGTTGGATGGAGAATTCTGGTAGGCGGCTTATGCTCCTCCACAAGGGATAACAGGCGTAAGTAAGAGTTTAGGTGTTCGTATACGACGGCGAAGTGCCTGGGTTTGGTTCCTGGATTAGGGCCATGGATGAATACTGCTAAGAAGTTCTATACTAGGACGAAACATCCATCCTGTTCTTATAGGTGTTTACTAATGATTTGGCTAGGATAAGTTTGTCGTTTAAAGGACTGTAAAAGAAAACGTATGTATAAATTCTTCCATTAATTGAACAAACTGGAACTCTTGGTGAAACTTGGGTGAAGACCTACTAAAATTCACAAAATACAAATGGGCTGTTTATAACGATATTTAAATTAAAGGGAAACCCGTGCTCCTCAGCAGTGCACGTCTACAACCTCTCATGTGGGAATCTAACGCAAGACACTCGGTTTCGAGCTCTAAAACTTAATCTGTAGACCCACACTAGGATGAAATAGCCATTCTTATTTATTTATTTAAAAACATAAACATTAGAACAAGGAGGCTCAAATACATATGCGTCACATAAATCGTTCGATACTGGAGCCCATGTGCATGACTGGTTCGGAATCAGAGTTTTCCAACCTCCTAGGTGGATCCTCCATCCACCAACCCGGTTAAAGCGCCGGACTTTCGCTTTCCGTCCTTTCAATTGTGTAAACAACACACCCACATTGAGCAGGTAGTGAGTAGGATATCCCTCGTAGTGGCTGTATACGCGTGGCCATGTGAGAGCATTTCAAGTGGGAGAGCTGACTCTCCCCACTCTCGGCCGTGCCACGGCATTCAGGGGTCGAATAGCCATTCAGTGCTTCCAGGTTTTCAGTAATGGTCTAACTAAGATTGGTCCATGATTTCAATGAAATTACCGTATACTATTAAAGGCACAATTTCATAACCTACGTTGCTCTATAGACTTATGCTGGATCACTGATAAATTTCACCTTCAAATTCACTATGACTACTACTCTGTTCTTTCTCTGTATCAGTAATGCTTTGATTTTGAATTCATCACATTTATCACTTTTATTTACCTAATAATATTTCTTTTTTTTATCACAAAATTAGTTTCGTAATTCACTTGGTAAAGCATTCCGTAAAAGGGCCACATCATCATCAAGATTATCAATACATTCACAAAGTGATATAGATTGTCCTACATCATCAATACAACACAACTCTATTTATCATAGTAACAATAATAGTAATAATAGTCTTCCTCCTGGACATCCATCCAACTTACCACAAAGTCCAACTATGGATCATAAAGGATTACATAATACTATTATAAATCAATCTAATACGAATTCTATACAATCTAATAGTCATATAAATGCTTTATCTGTTTTATCCAATACACATTTAAATGGTTTATCTCCATCGAATTCATCAACATTATCATCGTCATCATCATCGTGGAGTACATTAGGAATAAGTGGAAATGGTCAAAATAATTGTAATATCATTACAGGTACTACTACTACTATTACTACTACTACTAATAGTAGTAGTAGTAGTACTATTGTACCATATACAAATGAACAAATTAGTAAGTTTTACACTTTACAAATGGTCTATTTTAATATGTTAACTTTTTTTACTTTAAATTTAGAAAATTTACACATTATACTTTTATCAATCGTTACCATTGGAGTTCATCCTGTGTCAGGTTTGAGTCCTGATGGCGTGTTATTGGATGCGCACTTTTGAGGGGTTCCATACTAGGATAAGTTGACCGTCCAGTTGTTCCAGGTTTTTAATGGTGATCTAATATTGGTCAGTTCATGATTTCAATGAATGAGACAGTCTCCTAAAGTCAAAGTAACTCAATGTGATTGACATTTAAGTAAAATTATTTTTGTCATGTGTCTAATTATCTCTGCAATTCAACCGGGTCTGTTGTGAGATAGTAACTCACTGATAGTTGAAGTTAAACAGTTGGATTCCGGCCGGCCCAATGGTCTAGAGGTTAAGCGCTCACGCGCAAGACTGACAGGTCCTGGGTTCGAATCTCAAGTGGCGGGATCGTGGATGCTCAATGCTGAGGAGTCCCATACTACGACGAGACGGCCGTCAAGTGCTTCCAGGTTTTCCATGGTGTTCTGGTTTCAATTGACTCATTATCTCAATTAAAGCAATTACTACAATCTCTACAAGACCCCTTCTGATACTGATCTCTTCAATTAACAAAATTAATCTGTTAGTTTTAACATGAGTCACATTAGAAAGTTAAAACGATAATATATTTGTAACTTGGCAACTTTATCATGATCTGATCCTAAACAACGTAAGTGACTAGAACTAGTCAATAAATCTCTAACATAACCACACCAAAATACTATCCTAGATAAAGGATGGAATCTTCAAGTTATTGTAATCAAGCGGTGGACTTATTTACAATTGACTGATTATCGATAAGTGATTAATCTTGTGCATGTCAAAAACTTCGTAGTACCGATCAAATTTTACCAGTCAAACTTTAATATGGTCATTAGTCTTGGTTACGACATCACGTGTACTATGTTGAAGATAGCCAACAGGAAACCCTATTTTACGTGGATTTCGTACTTTTTAACACTCTTCAGTAAAGTATACCTGGAATCTTAAGGCAGTTGACGTTCTTAAGCGGTTTCAGTCCCATATCACTCAACCTCATAAACTTGTACGTTAAATCAGAATCATTCAAAATGTAACTAATCGTCTGTAAGTCATTAGATCGAATGTACCAGGGAGCATCATTTCCTTCAAGTGCGGTGAATTCATTTCATTATCAACTATCCCCTAGATGATCATAGATAATTCAAAAATATCGTTTCTTTCTTTAGAAGAAAAAAAAGAGATTTATTCACCAATTGTTTACATCTGTCATTAATCATACACGATACATGAATACACGATAATCAATCAAGACAATATTCTAAGGTCAGTTGGTCAAATTTCATGCAACACATTACACTGACAACAATAACAAACAATTACATTCTAATTGGTTGATTTTATAATGAAATAATTCAACAGTTGCCAAAATCAATTAAGATTACTTACTATTGACTACAAACAGATTTCGATCTGTATATACCTAAGCTCCCAATTTTGAGGAAGCCGCTATAGTAAAGTTTGGGGAAATGGCACAAAAACCCCAAAATTTCCCCAAAGTTGGGAGCTTGGGTATGTATGTTGGTGTATGTTACTTATATTGACAAATAATATAAGTAATATGTGACATCGGTCGAATGTGAAATGCCTATCAGCAGAAGAATGAATTAAAGAGGAGAGAAGGGGGAAACACTGAACCATTTTAGGAATAATAGAATTGGAAGAATTATGAAGTGTGTAAAGGATAACTGATAGAAGAAATGTAAATGAAGTATTCAATGTATGGTTATCATATTTTATCAAGACACTCTGTAATTTTTTATTGAACAAATTTTTCTTCTTCACTTGACTTCTTCGTTCACTACATACATATTTGTTTTGATTGAGATCATGAACCGATTGATGTTAGACCACCGTTAGAAACCTGGAAGCACTGGACGGCCGTTTCGTCCCATTTTGGGGCTGCTCAGCAGTCCGCATCCACGATCCCACTCGCAGGACTCTAACTCAGGGCATTCAGTCTCGCGCGCGAACGCTTAACCTACTGGACCACTGAGCCGGCATTAAATGGTGTTAATGTCTAACCTCAACCAATCTACGAAGTTGCGCAACCATCTTCCATTGTACTGAGGTAGACAGCCGATTCTACCCGAAACGGATTAGCTCCGTGGATGCGCACTGCTGAGGAGTCCCACAATAGGACGAAACGGCCGTCCAGTGCTTCCAGGTTTCGAATGGTGGTCTAACATCAATCGTCTCATGATCTCAACCAAAACTTAACAATCTCCACAACTCTTATACTGATATATACTTGTGTTTAAGTTTTATAGGAATTCTCAGACTCATTGTTTCCAGAAATCAGAAACACGTATTGTAGTGAACAAGAACACCAGTTGGGACAACCATATGTATTTTGATACAAAATTACGGAATCGCTTAATAAAATCTGAGGAGCATACAGTAAATACTTCATTTGCAAAACATCCATCAATTGTTTCAGATTTTGTTATTCCTATGTTTCTATACTAATCAGTCACTGTTCTCGTTCTCTTCTCTTCGATTTTCTTAACTTTCTGCTACCAGGCATTTCACTTTCGATTAGCGATACATACTACTTATATCTGTCGACATAAGTAGCATACACCACAGTATAAGATTTACGTGGTGGAAAGTGTGTTTTTCAAAAAAACAACTTAATTACATTAATATTAAAAGAGGATTTGTACGACAGATACTATTACTGACTGAATAAAATAGTTGAACTTGAGCTAACATATAATAACTCGTAATTATACTGAAGTAATCAGAATACACAGAACGGGGTCAAATCCATCATCTGAAGTTAATTTAGCATAGACAGTTGACTTTGTGGTTGTTGTTTAGTAGGGATAAAAGAAACATCACAAAACGACGAAATGATTTGATAGAAAAAAGGCGATATCGAGTGCATTAGAGGTATGAGGGTGGTTTTTAGTTCCTATTTGCTTACACTGTAGAAGGATATTTCTCCTTAAAGGAACCAGAAAGAAAATTGAATTAGTATTGGTCTTGGCTACCTGAAAGCTTGACTGTAGAGCTTAAATTCTGACCGAGTAGACGAGATATTTTTCTTTGTGGTCCATAGTATACTACACCACACTTTTCAGGCATTACCACTGTCAAAGGAAACTATCAGAGTTAAGATAAGATTTACTATTTTAAAAGTCCCAACCGTTTCACACCTTCCTTCTGTTTTAAAAATTTAGTATCGCCGCAAATGCTGATTGTTTGATAGTGTTTTTAGTTGTGTCATGTCTTCATGTCTAACCGTTGTGACTGATTTCAATACAATTAGCACCCAAAACCCCACTGGAGGTCAGACACATGACGATTCATTGCTGTTCATCAACTAATTCCCCTCCTGTACCATCATGCGCAAGGAACGTTTTTAATGCATTTATGATCATTTATTAATAATCCACTCATTTTCTCTACTTTCATATACCGTGGGTCATAGGTCACATGGTACAGTAACCTCAGTATATTCTACTAAATTATGAATAACTGGGGCTTCAAGTCTAGTTTTTCTACATATAATCAATGGTCACTGTGAATATCTTCATTCCGAATAAATTTAATGACAATAACACTCCGTCTTGCATATTTCAATTTATAACGCTTAACGCGACACAATTTAGGACTTAATTTTTTAGGATAATTTATAAACTCGATTATTCACGTTTAGATTTCAACTAACAATCGTAGCTGCTACCTCGATGTAGTGGTTAAATTTGCATATTATGTTATGCCATTGAGATATGTTTTGGTAGAAATACTCGTTCTTTTACGTCTTACTATGTCATTCAGGTCAATTAGACAGCAGTAGGACAAAAAGCAACAGACTTAGGATTCGAAGACGAAGTCATACTTCCGACTGTATGGTACTGTGATGGAAGGAAGGATTTTTCGTAAACAATCATCATTTGAAGCGATGCTACCTCTTCATAATGAAAAAGCAATTAAAAAAGTCTTACAAACAACGGTTCATCATATCATCCCTTATAGATTTCGATTACCCGATATAGAGCCTCTAAAGCACTAAGTTAACACAACAAGAACTATACGTAAAAAGGCTTTGTGTAACCGGTTTCACATTCAATTGTCTCTTAAACTCTATGGCCTATGATTTCTACCTCACTTGTTTATTCATCATCTCTGTAATCTTTTCACCAAGTTAATGTGATGATCAATTCTCGATGAACTCTTTTGGAACTTAATACCTCACTTATTTGTGCTTCCTTCTATTGATTGATAAACATTCGGGAAATGGAGTGTTCTTGTACATGTATGTGTGTGTGTGTTTACATCGGAATGTTTACTTAATATATATTATGCATTCACTCATTTCATAGTTTCTTTAGTTCACTTAGCACTCTTTCATTTCTGTGTTACGTTGTATGTTTCTTTTCACCTGGTTACATCAACCGACTTTTCTCTAGGTATAAAATTGTGTACACATTCATATATGTATTTGTAACTATATGTGTACTTCCCCTTGATTTGTGTATCGTAGGTGTGAACATGTTTTTTAAATGGACTTTCTTTACAAATGTACAACATTTCAATTAAGTGGTCATTATGATGTAGTTAATGATAATTGCTTGTAATTCATGAATTGGTTGATGATAATCTCAGTAATTATGTTATGTAATTGCTTTCTATTGAAACTATAATATAATTACTACAATGTTCTTGCAATGTAGTAATTTGTTTTTCTCATAGGTAGTCGAAAGCAAATTGTGATTAATTTAATATTCCACCATGGAAAACCTGAAAACACTGGATGGCTGTTTCTTTGTAGTTTGAGACTTTTCAACAGTGCGCATCCACGATCCGGCACGTGAGAATTGAGCCCAAGACCTTTGGTTTCATGCGCGAACATTTAACCTCTAAACTACTGGGTTGGCCGGCATCTAACGGTGTTAATGTGTAACTTCAACCAATCCATGGTATTGCGCGGCCGTCCATCATTGTTTTCAATGAGTAAATGCTTGAGGAATCCCATACTAGAACCAAACGACCGTCCATTGCTTCTAGGTTTTCCATGGTGATCTAGCATAACTCAACTCATTCAACTACTAAACTGCTACAACCTCCACAAACCTCAATTTTTATAATTAACCTAAGTGTCTTGGTTAACTGGCAGTCATTAACAGGGTAAAAATAAATGCTCCCTATAGGATTTGAACTCGAGTTGTCCGATCTTCTGTTTCAAACTAGCTACTAACGTATAGTACTTACCGGTTTGGTAAAAACGATATGTTTACTAAAATGTTTATCTTGGAATGATAAAGGAGATTTGTAGCTCCGATAGATCATCTTGATGTCGTTATGTTTCTTGAACTAGATGCTTTATTCATGATATTCGGATCAATTGGTAACCAATAAACATATAGATACATTCTATTAATATCCATACGACAGAAATCGATGGACAACAGTATCAAAGGTAAACAAGAGAAGACAAATATTCAACATGAATACTAAGAACAAATGAAGACAACAAGTCCTATGAAGACTATTAAAGTGAACTAATTTGACGCTTGAATAAAAGCTAAGAATTTCACTTCTCCAGATAGTAAGCATCAGTGATATTGTCCAGAACGATAATGAAAACTAAGCAGTTAAACTAGCTAGAGTAAACATCAGTACCATAATCATCACCATCATGACCACCACCGTCATCATCATCAAAATAGTTTTTGTGATTGCTCTAGTTGTTAGAAGAAGTATCGGCCTCATGACTTCTGAAGAATTTCGGCTTTCATCCAGAAGCATCATAGTTTTACTTTCAACTCTCAGGGCAGAGTTTAAATGGTTTAATTTGTTGAATCTGATTGACATTTTTTCAACAAGATTTTTTTATGGGATGGGGTTGCCAACCTCATGCCCAACTCTCCTCTTTTAGTCGGGCTTAGGACTGGTAGTAACTCTAGAAGAGCTACAGGTTGAGTTATCAAAAAAGTAATGTATGATATTTTTATATAAAATGAAAGAGGAAAAACTAACGATCTTCATTTTTTCAAAAATTAAACTATAGATCGTTTGAACAACACACGAATACAGCAACAACAACAACAACAGGACCATCGACCAATCCATTCAAATCAACATAGTTGCCCAAATTACTTAGTTAACTATAATGATTCAGATAAACAAAATAAATTATTCAATGTTGAAGGAGGTGATAGAAATATTCTGGACAGGAATGATAGTAAATTAGAGTATGTTTATATTTCTTAATGTTATTTATTATCAAGTTATGGTTTTATTTGAAAATCTGTACTTTGATTTAAAGGTTAAGTACTCATGAAGAGATCCGGAATGTCCCAGGTTCGGCCCTGTGGTCTAGAGGTTTGACGTGAGACTGAAGATCCTAGGTCCGATTCCTGAGTGCAGGTTGTAGATGCATTCTGTTGAGGAGCCTGTGACGAAGCGGCTGTCTAGTGCTACCAGGTTTTCAATAGTTGTCAAGCTTATATCGGTTCATGATTTCAACTATCTCTACAACATCATATTGACAACTTAAAGGTAGTTTTTCTTATTTTGATGCAATAATCGTATGTGGAATTCAACATTATGTAGTAGAGAGCCTGTGGAGCGCTAGGTTGATGTGATTTGAAAGCTAAGTAGTCCAGAATGAAATTTCAAACAGAGAAGAGATATTGACTGTTATCACATTTTGTTTCCGGGAATTATTACATTCCTAAGGAATTTACTATAAAACAGCTGACATTATTTCATCATATCTTCGTACAACAAATACAAATAAACAGTCTATTGTATCGATGACTTTGTCATCATAGACTAATCCCGAAGATGAGATACAGGTACATCTAATTAACGAGCCCCAAGCAGGATGAAAAGCACGTTCTGGATTCCACTGCTAGCCACTATCCATCTTTGCTTATAATGCTTGTGAATTAAGGCAATATCAAGGCAATCCGTACAGGATGTACATATGCTAATAAAGGAGACTGATCAATTGTAGTCCTAAATATCAATGAGAAGATTCAAGCAAACAATACAAAACGAATGAACAATTTTAATCTTAACACATTCTTCACAAAACTGGAAGGTCCTCTATTAGAATGTTTTCAAAGTAATCAACCAGACAATTATCAGTGATTCTTAGCTTTTAATAGTCCCTTAATCTTAGTTTAGTTTATATATGTCACAGGTATTGAGAGTTTGACAACGCCTTTACACGTAAGACCTTTATAATCAAGTTATACCAACCCAATCAAATCAAAAGTCAGAAATGAAGAGGTTCAAAGATATATTTGAAAGGCAATTGATATATTGGGAAGTGTTTAATCTAATCTAGTTAACGGTTGTAAGAGATGCGTAGCATGACATACCCACTCGTGATCTGGTGCGAATGCGTGACTGAGAACCTTCAGTTAGGGTATTCCCAATCAAACTAATAAGGTCATAATCAAATGTTGACGAATTACTGATCTACTTATATTGGGGATTTATTTACCGCTATAACTTCATAATGATATCAGTATGAGGTTGTGAAGATTATTAAGTTTTTTGATTGAGTTCATGAATTGACTGATGTTAGATCACCATTGAAAACCGCGAACAGGATCGTGGATGCACACTGCTGAAGAGTCCTACAATAGGATGAAACAATCGTCTAGTGCTCCCAGGTTTTCTATGATGGTCTAACATCAATCGATTCATGATCTCAATCATAATGATCTCATAATGATAATTCTCTCTCTCTCTCACACACACACTTTTTTAACCTTCAAATTATTGATTTATAGATTAAATAAACAATCATGTCAAGATGAATTGAATCATTTAAAATGTCAATTAGCTGAAAAAGAATCTAAATTAACTGATGTACAATTAGAAGCTTTAGCAAGTGCTCATCAATTAGATCAATTAAAAGATGAAATGTCACATTTATATTCACAATTAAATTATTTACGTACAGATAATGAAAGATTACAAATATTAGTGACACATTTACAAAAACAACAACATTATCATAATCATCATCATCAACATCAACATCAGCTACAACACAGTACTCCTGCTCCTGCTTCTCCTCCTCCTCCTCCTCCTCCTCCTCCTCCTCCTACTACTACTACTACTACTACTACTACTACTACTACTAATAATAATAATAATAATAATAATAATAATAATAATAATAATAATAATATGTCAATATTATGTAATGCAGAGATAATACCCATTGAATGTGATACTTGTTCAAGTGAGTTTATTTTGAAAAATATTGTTGTTGGGTACAATTTGGTCATTTATTGATTTTTCATAATAAAATAAATATTGAGGTAACTCAAAATGGTAGTTTACTCTTTATGATAAGTCTTGCTAATTGAACGCTATATTCGGTTCTCAAGCTATTCTCGTAACCCCCAAGCTGGAACTATACAACGACCTAAACACGAGAGAAAAGGCGCAAAAGATGCAAGAAGCACTTTACTCTAAAGGTTTGTTCTAGTACAGAAAATATAGGGTGTTTAGAATATTTTAGATGTCCTTGGGTTTCCCGAAGATTCTGGAATGCTGCTTAACATAGTAAGCAGTATAGTAATCAGCCAGTCAGAAACTCTAAATGTAACTTTTCACTTTTTTGATATTTCTGACTAAATTTCAAGTGAACATTGAATGGATGAAATGCTTCTTAATGTTTCCTGAGTCTTTCTTGTCTTTTGCGAGAAGTTTTCTGGATCACTCCAACACTTTATAACTTAGTAAATGAGTATCTTGCTGGTGAAATAAAAAACCAGTTCAAAGTTCTGATGAATAAAATATATTTTACTTAAGGATCTAGATATTCTATTGTTTTATATCTTAGTAGTTGTATCTTCCTTGAACTGTGAAAGTACTTTCAACTTGATGTTTCGATTATAGATTATAATCAATGAACAGAAATGGGAAGCTATTGTTTGTTGGATTATATTCAATGTATCTTCAGTGTATATTTGTCTGACTCCTGAGGATAGAGAATTGATTAAATTTCTTTTTTTATTTATTACTCAGTAGCACTCAATTCCGAAAGCTCATATACTACCTATTTCAAGTATAATGTACTACAATAATTCCGAAGAAAGTTTTGTTCCTATGTTACTTACTTACTTACGCCTGTTACTCCTCGTGAAGGAGCATAGGCCTCTCACCAGCATTCTCCATCCAACCCTGTCCTGGGCAATCCTTTCCAGCTCTTTCCAGTTGTTATTCATCCTTTTCATGTCTGCTTCTATTTCCCGATGTAATGTGTTCTTTGACCTTCCTCTTTTCCGTTTCCCTTCAGGATTCCAAGTTAGGGTTGCCTCGTGATGCAGTTTGATGATTTACGTAGTGTATGTCCTATCCATTTCCATCGTCTTTTTCTAATTTCTTCTTCAGCTGGAAGTTGGTTTGTTCTCTCCCACAGAAGGCTATTGCTGATGGTATCCGGCCAATGGATGTTGAGTATCTTGCGTAGACAACCATTTATAAATACTTGTACCTTCTTGATTGTGGTTGTTGTAGTTCTCCAAGTTTCAGCTCCGTACAGTAGAACTGCCTTGACGTTCGTATTGAAGATTGTGACTTTGATATTGGTTGAAAGTTGTTTTGAGTTCCATATGTTCTTTAATTGTAGGAATGCGACCCTTGCTTTGCCGATCCTCGCCTTTACGTCTGCATCTGAACCTCCTTGTTCATCGATGATGTTTCCTAGGTATGTGAAGGTTTCCATACCTTCCAGAATTCCAGCGTCAAGTATGATTTTGTTAGTGTTCTCGGTGTTGTATTTGATGACCTTGGCTTTCCCTTTGTGTATGCTGAGGCCTACTGATGCAGAGACTGCTGCTACACTGGCTGTCTTCATCTGCATCTTGTTCCTATGTACATTTGTTATATTACATACATAGATTAGCTTGTTATGTTCTTCTTCATTTTGCGCATTCCCTGTTCTCTCATCTTCCTTATGACATACTGATGTTGTTTTAACGCTTCATTTTGGCGTTTACTGAGATTGAAGTCATGAACTGATCAATGTCAGACCATCATTAAAAACTTGAAATCAATGAATGGCCGTTTAGTCCTAGTATGAGACTCCTTAGCAGTGTGTATCCACGATCCCTCACATGGGATTAAAACTCAGGATCTCCTAATTTTTCACTTTCTTTTGTATTAATTCCGACTTAACATCGGCCACTGTTATGACTTATGCATGCTCTCCAATAGCACGTGACAAAAGCACCAATCGGAATATGTTTAGCACTAATAACTTTGAGTCATATCTTAGAGCTTATTGGTCCTTGATCCGGTAGCTTCTCTCGTTGCCCTGCCCGGTGAGTCTAGATCACAATAATCAACCTCCACCATACAAATGTTATATTTTAAGCATATGTAGTTTTTATATAGATATATCTGACCAGATCACATCATAAAATGAAAAACAAAAGTCGTGTATGGTCAGGGGAGACTGTGTATAATAAACTGGCATCAGATTAAGAACAATAAAACGTACCATAGTATCTAATGTGTTAGTCGAAAGCTCATGATATATATATATAATGATAGTCCATCAATTAATCTTGACAGTTATCATTCATTTAGTCTTCATTGGATATAACAGTTACTTTGTTAGTCAGTCAAAATCAACATATACTCTGGTACTTGTGTGAGTTATCTAAAAATTCACATACCAAATTAGCACAACAACGCAAAGGAATCGACAAGATGAATAATGAAGGAGCCAAAATAATCGTATCACCAATAATAATAATAATAATAATAAAGTCTTATGATTCAAAATATTGTTTCAGAAGAATAAATCAAGAAGTTGGGTTTAAAAGAACAATGGAACTCGAGATCTAGAGTAAGATGAAGGATGAATGAATCTTCTACATTTTCAATGTATCTGTGGTATGTCACCCAACGTCGTCAACCACTGATCACGGTTACGCCAGAACTCTAACCAGATAGATTATATCTATGAATGAGACTAAAAACACAGAAGTAAATAACTTTATGGATTGATAACAAGTTTTGGTTTGGCTGTCATTAACTTTGTTCAAACCTACTCCTACACTATCTAACATAACCTTTCTAAGTAAGTATTTGTTAGACATATGTAACATATGTCCCAATCGGCTTCAGTTGATAAAGACTTACTACCTCACCAACCAATTTTTTACCTTCATTTAGTACCCTAAACCTAACTTCAGTGTTGCTTACGCCATGTTTCTAACAATAATTGAAGCAATAAAGGGACCATGTATTGTGAAATCTTAATAGTGGTCTCGATGACTATGTGTAATTCGTGATACGCCATATACATAAGAGTTCATTGTCCACTTGACAAGCATGTGTCTGATCAGTGAGAAAAGAAAAAAAGGACCCCCTGCCATATGGTACGAATTTCTCTCATTTACGGCAAGAACTCAAAACTACAGAACAAACACATCGAGAATTTCTAACAAAACGCGTCAACATCAAAGTCTCACTAAGCTGTCATTTTCACTCTTCGGTCAAGCTCTCAAGTACGTAAGACCACTCTTGTCTAGATTCCTTTTCTATTTTCCTCAAAAAGAAGTATTCTTCTACAACATGAGCAATTATTAAGGGACAATTGCCCATATATCCTTATTACCATTCAATATCACCTTGACATGCAATGATAAATATTTTTGCCAGATCTTAAGTTACTTATAACCTATTAGCATCGTTATTATCAGAAATGGGTTTTGTGGATATTATAGTAATTTAACAGTTAAATTTTTAAGTCAATTGAAACTAGACCACCATGGGAAACCTGCAAACATTGGACGACCGTTTCGTCCAATTGCGGGTATCCTCAGCAGTGCGCATCCACGATCCCGCCTAAAAAATATTATTATTTGATCAATACAAAATGCAATCTTAATTTTATTGTATTAAGCCAAGCGAATAAAGCAAGACTCCCCGATACAACATAACATGCAACAGCCGAACCACACTTGACGGAGAAGATTTGGAATACGTAAAAACGTTTACATATCTGGTCAGCATCATTGATGAACACGGTGGATCTGATACAGATGTGAATGCGTGGATCGGCAAAGCAAAAGCAGCATATTTACAACTGAAGCACATCTGGAACTCAAAACAACTGTCAACCAACAAAAAGGTCACAATTTTCAATACAAATGTCGGAACAATTCTACTGCATAGAGCGGAAACCTGGAGAACTACGAAAGCCATCATCCACAAGATACAAGTGTTTATTAACAGCTGTCCACGCAAAATACTTCAGATCCGTTGGTCTGACACTATCAGCAACAACCTACTGTGGGAGAGAACAAACCAGATTCCAGCGGAGGAAGAAATCAGGATGAAGCAGTGGAAGTGGATAGAACACACATTGAGGAAGGCCCCGAACTGCATCACAAGGCAAGCCCTCACATGGAATTCTCAAGGCCAAAGGAGAAGATGAAGATCAAAGAACACATTACGCCGAGGAACGGAGACAGACATGAGAAAATGAACAAAAATTGGATAGAACTAGGGGGGAAGGCTCAAGACAGAGTGGATTGTAGAATGCTGGTTGGTGGACTATGTCCCACTGGAAGTAACAGGCGTAAGTAAGTAAGCCAAACGAATGTCGCGATGCAGAATCATGTATGATCACTGTTGAGGACTCCGACAATAGGACACAACAGCTGTTCAATGCTTCCAGATTATCTATGGTATGGTCTAACTTCAATTGTCTCATGATATCAATTATTAGAAATTGTCATTATCATCATCATCATTGAATTGTTTAACTTTGTTTTATTTTATCCTTTTAGATCTATTTATTGGATTTTCTGAAAAAACAATTAATTTAAACAATTCATTCATTGCAACAGTCAATCTTATTTTAAACAATTCTCAACATAATAATAATTCATCAACCAATTCTATTTTAAATATTGGTATCCTTTATTTAACAAAATTATATAATTGGGAATCTATAAATAATCATCTTGTTAATTTATATAATTTATATACATCCTATTTGAATTTGAACGACCCGCGTGACCTTCAAATGAATGAATTCAAACAATTTCAATTACATATTGATTCATTGAATTATACATGGTATATTGAATTTCATCCAAAAACATCAAATTATTCCATTCAATTTAAGGATGATAATAATGAGAGAACAATTCAAAATCCTCAACATTTAATTAATTTAATTCAATCTCAATCAAAACAATTCAATATTCAATTAGTTATGAATCATGATTTATTGAATATTGAACAAGCAAATTTATTAGCGGATCATTCAAATGATTATCAACAGAATTTATTTAAACAATTAAATAATTTAATGATAAAAACTTTATTAAATCGTGATATTTTATATTTTTATTATGAATTATTATATACATATCATTTATTGATATTCTATGATATAGATGATGTTTATATGAATATAGTGATACAAGCATTTTATGAACATATTTGTTCAAGTATAAAGTAAGTTGTAAAGATGGTTTATCATTATTATTATTATTATTATTTGAACACATAAATATTGGTACAGAGGGGCATTGAATACATATGCGCCACAAAAGTCACTTGATATATATATATATATATATATATGTGTGATATGATACTGCCCGGGTGCCTAGATCAAAGCAGGTGGTTTTCTTTGGAGAGGGGGGGCGGTCCAAACCCGGAACCTTCAACCTAAAGGTCTAATCCACATGGCACATGGAAAAACGCTAGAGAAGGTTCAGTCCCATGGTAACCAATGACCAATACTTGGTTCATACGCCATTTGTTTCGTCATGATCCTGGAGCCAGACCATGTGCACGATGGGTTTTGAATGAGGGTTTTCCAACTCCCCTAGGTGGATCCTGTTATAACCTAATAAACATTAGATTATGAGTAACTTCTGAGAACTATTGACTGACTAATATTATATATATATATATATATATATATATATATATATATATATATTCCTATTGTATAACCGTTCAGTAACTAGATTATGTATATTCATATTCCTCTTATTATAAGCCTCATTTTGACCCACAGATTATTATGATACGATTTACTGTTCTTAAGTTATGTTCAGTTTATTAACTGCAGTCTACCACGTTCACTGCCACTTTTTGGCCTGATCTTGTATAAATATTATTTCCTAATTTATGGTGTGATGCGGTCTGTTTGGTTGACATATAAACTATGTATGTTTGAAATAAATGATTCAGATAGTGGGAACTGTTATTGGCCTTCTGGACTCAGCTGGACAATCCAGGCGAACAAAAGACCAATAAGGACGCTAGGCTGCTCATACCGGTTGAACGTCATTGGTTTGGAGCAGTGCTGAGATTGTATTTTGATTGGTAGATAAATCATGTAATAACTAACCGGGATTAAGGACACAACAGATCCTCTATATCCATCAACCCAGTTAAAGTGTCAAGCATTCATTTTTTGTCCTCCTGATTTCGTAAACAACACCGATGCCGCGAGAAGGGAATGAGTAGGACTTCCTTGACAGTGGCTGTATATGCGTGGCCATGTGAGAGCATTTCAAGATGAAGAGATGATTCTCCCCACCCTCGGCCATACCACGACATTCGGGGGCGTAAACAGTTTTAGTAAGTTTTATTGAGGTTTGTGGAGATTGGTGGGTTTCATGGTTTATATAAATGATGGATCTTCATTGGACAACTATTGACAATCAGAAAGCACTAAACAACTGTTGCGTGGTAGTAGTAATACTAGTAGTATAGAATTTCTCAGCAAGTTGTCCATCTACAACTCCACCAGGAATCAAACCGAAGACTCTGATGTCTTTCAGTTAGTGCATAATCCTTCAGTCTTTTAGTTGACATGTAGTGATGTTGAGAAGTTCCAAAGTATTCATTGGAAATGTCTTCAAGGGCCCAGAAAACTCTTGAAAACTTTTTCTATCTAATTAGCGCTGAATAAAACCTTAGCAGAAACATCTCGAAAGCAAAGAGTCATATGTCACACTTACGACTGGACATTTACCTTTACTGTCAATATATTTAATATGCTTCCGGAAAATTCCATAAGTTAAAAGTTGTGTGTTACTCTATCAATAAACTAACCTTGGAGTATGGAGTTCTTCTCACATTTCGCGTTTTTTTCTCTTATGTTTAAGTTATTGTGCAGATTTAACCATGTGTTTATTAGAAGCGGTTAGGAAATCGGATCGAGTGTTTATTTAGCAGACTCATAAAATGGTTTTGCAACACGTGTGACTTCAATGAACACACGATGTTACTCAATTATCATGCATTGGCGTCGATAATGCTTATCTCATGCTGAACATCGTTAAATTCCTTACTGGTCACAACTTTTCAATGGGACCCCAGAAACGTCCTTTTTATGTTAGTCATCAGTAAGCACATGATAATGATCGCGAAATGTCGCTAATTAAATGAAATTACCTATGTAAACCATTGAAAGTAATCCAATGGTCCAAAGATTAAGGAATAACTATGAGATTTAAAGACTCTGGATTCGTTCTCTAGAAAGTCATAAGTGTGTCATGTTGATAAGCCCCATGATAGAACGAAACATTTTTGCAGTGTTTTCTAGTTTATAAAATTTGTCTAATTAATATCAGCCTGTGATATAAACTATGAAGTCCTGATTACATAACAACGAATCTGATTATTTAATAGGCAGTAATTGGCAATTTAAGATTTTTATTCAGGATAACAGTAATACACATATTTTGCAATTGTTATACGTGTGGAAAACTGGTACTGGCAAATGGAAAAAAACTGTGGTTTACATTATGTAAGAAAGAAGATTGTTGCTGTGATGTGTGCTACTTATATTGACATAAGTAGTATATGACGTTAGTCAGAAACAGAATGTCTGGCAGCAAAGAGACAAGAGGATTGAACAGTAAAGAATGGAAACAGAATGTAATTTGTATAAAAATGCAAGAACAATGAAGTGTGAGTCATTTTGAGACAGTTGATGGACATTTTGCAAATGACGTATTTACTATTTGATTGTTAGATTTTATTAACAAGTCCCCACGGGTGTTCTAATCGCTACATTGCAACATTCAGGCTTCTTGTATGTCCTTTATTTGCACTACTGGATATAGTACAATAATAAGAATACGCTTCACGCCTACTACTCATCTAATTTTCACTTTAATTGGTAATACACTTCAATGTAAAACAAATAACCATAACAGTAATCATAAATATTCTTATTTCGACTAATGTAGTATACATTTTTCCTCTAACCTGATAGCTGGTCAGAGGTCGAAAAACCTCTTGCGGATAATACCTTATATTCAAAACTCAGTATTCATGGGATTATACACATAAATTAGCAGTCCACAATATACAATAAATAAGAAAACATAGTTTGAATATTTAACAGTTGAATTCATGTGTCAAATGAAGCTAAACCACCATGAAAAACCTGGAAGCACTGCCTCATGAAGTCAACTACTAAATTACTATGATATCCACACCCCCTCCCTGATTATAATTCTCATATGCTCACTAGTGACGGTCTCCAAAAGGTATTTCCTAGAGTTGTAGTGAGAAGCCGTGACCAGTGAGGTTTAACCGAGTCTTTTGTGAGATAGTGACTCACTAATGACAATAACGGACGGTGGCGCAACTACGTGGATTAGTTGAAGTTAGGTATTAACACAGTTGGATGCTGCCCAGCTCAGTGGTGTAGTGGTTAGGCGCTCGCGCACGATACCGATAGGTCCTGGGTCCGAATATCACGAGGCGAGATTGTGTATGAGTACTGCTGAGGTGTCCCAAGATAGGACGAAACGGGCGTCCAGTGCTTCCAGGTTATCTATGGTGGTCTAGCTTTAATCAACTCATGAATTCAACTATTAAAATACTAGATAACTTGAGTTCTCCATAGTTGTTGACCAAATATTTTCTTTTTAAGATACAAATTTTATTGGTATGTGGTATTTACTCACTGAATTATGTAACGAAAGGATTAGCGAAAATACCAACAAAATAAAAAGGATTTTCAACTCACTTGGTATTGTTTGCTTATAACTTTCCATTGTTGTTCAGGTCTATAATTGATCAGTCTCTTATTCGCATATGTGCATACTGTGCGGACTGTCTCGATATTGCCTTAAATCATAAGTTTTTTAAACAGAGTCCCAAATAGGACGAAACACGCGTCCTGGATTACACTACTAGCTGTGCGAATATTACACTGAACTTTTAAAAAAAACATGATCTTTTGAATAAGATTATGAACCAATTGATCTTAGATCACCATTGAAAACCTGAAAGCACTCAACGGCTGTTTCATCCTATTATAGGACTCCTCAGCAATGCATATCCACAATCCCCCTCACGGGATTCGAATCCAGGGCCTTCTTTTTTTCCCATTCTGTCTTAGCCAATAGTTATCTAACAGAGTATACATTCTATCAACTATTTCATGTTTGTATTTAATCTAGTACATTGTTAATATATTTTCTCTTTTATTCAATAATTCAGTTTATTGTTGAGTTGATAGATTAGAAAATTGTTATAATTGACATTTTATTACTATGGTAATAACACAGCTGTTTAGATTATGTCATTAACAACTGTCGTTCTGTATTTAAATAATGGGGATCTATAAGGCATTTGCTTACGCAATAGAAACAGTTTCACTTCTATCAAAGGGTACCTCATTTAAAATCAATAGGATATGAAACTTTAGTTAAACTAATAGAAAAAGTACACACGCACACACATCCATACAAAACGTTTTTGATAATAAAGTAAATGGTAAGGTATATTTGTAGTGTTGGTTACTATGTTAAGCCTATATAACTTATTTCTAACTTCTGGACAAGCCAGTTTATTCATTCTTCTAGAGTCACATATTGACTTAGTTGGGAGTTGGCTCACATACCATCTCCAACGCACGTCATTTCACTTCGGTGTCTTCTCTTCGCTTCGTCTCTCTGATTGTCTGTTCAGATCACTGACTGTATGAAATATATTTATTCAAAAATTCATCCTCGTATTCGACTTATTTAATTCCGTTATTCATTAACGCGGATTAAGTCGATAATTATACACGAAGTTACCCAAGATGTATATTTTAAAATCAATCAGTCATACAATCCAATTACAATCAGATAAGGGGCCACATATCTAAGCATGATGATACTTGACATATCGGTGCCTATGAATGAATAATATCTGGGAAATTGTGGTCTCTGTTTTTGGTGAGACTATAATTTATGGACGATCTTTCAGCGACGCTGAAGTGACCTTGATTGTCCACCTACTAACTAGGATCAAATGAGGGTTATAAACCTGTATGAAGAATTTGATCTATGATTCACGGTTGATGGTTAAGGTCAAGAATGAGATTTAGGGTTGTCATCACGATCTGACATCAGCTATAATGCCAGAACTCTATTTATCCAAATGGTTGAGTGAATTTCGCGCCAGAATCCGAGACCTGTTATCTTATACGTGATTGGTTCGTCCATAAATTATAGTCTCGCCTTTCCAGCTATTTATACTTGTCAAATTACCTACATACTGATGATAATAATCAGTCTCTCTTATTGGTATATGTGCATACTGGACGTATTGCTTCGATATTGCCTTAATTCATATGCATTATAAACTAAGATGGATAATGACTAGCAGTGGAATCCAGGACGCATATTTCATCCTATTTAAAACTCGTCAACTGAATGTACCTGCATCCAACAGTTGATGTTTGCTCTGAGGCTCGACCCCGGTAGCGTTCGCTTCAAACGACATCGTGTTATCCACTTAGCTATTAAGTCTTGATAGCCAATTGCAATCTTAAACATCAATGGGAAGATCCAAGTAAACAATACCAAATGAATTTAAACTTCACAACATTGCACAAGTAAGTGGCTATCAGGACTCCGTAGTTAAGTGGATAACCTGATGTCGTTTGAAGCGAATGCTACTGGGTTCGAGTCCTAGAGTGAACATTAACTGTTGGATGCAGTTACATCCAACTGACAAGTCCCAAATAAGATGAAACATGCGTCCTGGATTCCACTGCTAGCTACTATTCATCTTCGCTTAAAATAATTAGAATAGATAAAGTATGCGAAAACATGAACTCTCGTTTTAAGTAACTACTTATTATTAGGGAATATAAGTAGTATTGTGGAACTATCATCAAAGATTAGTATCCAAGTGATAATAGTTATTCTGTTAATTGTAACATGTTATTAATTTACACCAATGAAATGTTTCAAAAAAGAATGAAATATTTTATAGATTGTTCTAAAAACTAGTATCAACCTTGTTACGTAATAAATGTATTGTATTCATGCTTGTGTTGCAAGTGGAAACACATTGTAGGTTTCACTATTAGTCTATATTCGTGTATACTTCAGTGTAGTGAGATGTATATACTGTTCAGGATTTTTTCAAATGAGAACATATCAAAATTCTCAATCGATATTTCAGGAATTCTAGAGTATTTCTAGAAGTATTTGATGTAGGTTAATCTACCATCAGTTAACATAACCACAGAAATTCGATCTCTTGATCTATGTCGAGAAATTTGGTCAATCATATTGTGATGTACGCTACTCATGAGGACAGATATAAGTAGTATGTAGGAGGGATTGAAAGTGAGATGCTTACTAACAGAAGATTGAAATGAAGAGAAGAGAAAAGAAAACAGAAAGCGATCGAAATAACAACAGATGGAGTATGTAAAGGACAAGTGAAGAAAAAATATGCAACTGATGTATCCAATGTACAATTTTCATATTTTACAAAAGCATTGAGTGATTTAGTAGGAGGTAATCAACTGGCATACCGTACCCGAATATTCTTTCAATATTACATGATCAGAGATTAATTGAGCAAAACAGTTGGTGGTAAGTTATAAAGATGCTTAACGAAAGGCAAGGTCAAGTAAGTAAGTAAGGCCCCCAAATGCCCAGGCACGGTCGAGAGTGGGGAGAGTCCGCTCTCCCTCTCGAAATGCCCTCACATGGTCACGCGTATATTGCCTCTGCCAGGGAAGTCCTACTCACTGCCTTCTCGTGGCGGGTTGTTGTTTACGAAATTAAGAGGACGAAAAGCAAATTTCTGGCGCTTTAATGATGCTGGTGGACACGGCGAGTCCCCTAGGGGAGTTGGAAAACCCCGATTCCAAACCAATGGTGCACATGGCTCCAGGGTCCTGAAGGAAAAAATGGCGTATGAACCAATCGTTGGTCATCGGCTACCATGGGACTGCATTTCCTTACGATGCTCCACTGCCTTGTGTGTTAGACCTTTAGGTCAAAAGGTTCCAGGTGTACCCCCCTAAGACAACCACCTGCTTCGGTTTGGGCACCCAGGCAGTATCACAGCCCTAACACATATTAAATGAGATCTGTGTGGCGCATATGTAATTGGTGCCTCCTCGTACCAATATCTGTGTTCAAATAAATAAATAAAAAGTAAAGTATGAATCAATCAATTATTCATTTCATCTATGCTTGTTTGTTTCTCTTTTCCTATATCTTTCAAGTTCATCTTCATTGAAATTACATCATTTCAACTTAACTGATAGTGAACAAACTACAATGAATGATTTATATCAATGTTTATCACAATATATGAATAATACAATGAATAGAACAGAACAATTATCGTCTAATTTAATAATTCTATTCTATATTCAATCAATGAATCAAATGTCTAATGATGATTATTTGAAAATTATCAATGATTTTCAAGTTTATTATAATGGAAAGAAAGATGATCCAAATAGAACATGGTAAGTAAACTAAAATAGTTACCTCTTTGATCATTTTTAGAGAAATTGTATATTGAATAGATTGTTAATACCACCCCTTTTTTTTTCGAGATTATATTTTATGGACGACCTTTGAACGAATCTTCAGTGACCTTGACAGACATTAGTCAATCAGCAAACAGTCAGTATAGAGTAAAAATATATTACACAAAACTAAAGAAAGAAAGTGGATACACTTCTTATATGTGGTTCAAAAACTTGTCAAGGTTAGAAAGAGTTTCAGAGGTCCTAAAGTCGTAACGCACGCAGTAGAGAAAATCATCTATATGGCTACAGAATAGTCGGCCTCTGGAGCCATGATAAAGTCTCAAAAACTCTTTCAGCCTCGAGCACATAGTTTAAATATTGTTTATATGCACTCCAGTTGTTGAGTAAACAAAATGCCACTTGTGGATAACGACACGATGCACATAACCAAGCCAATGTAGGAGTCTGTACGCTCTCCAATCATCCGTATATATTGTAGTACCTGGTTGCAGCCAGTGTTACTGGTGCTTTTATTATCCAGTTCGTAATTTGCCTTAGCTAGGAATTATATATGGGGTTTTCATCATGAATTGACATCAGCTATAATGCCAGAAATCTATTTAATCAAATGGATGAAAGGCTTTCACGCCAAAATCCAAGATTTATTATCTTATACCTGATTGATTCGTCCATAAATTTTAGTCTTGCCGTTTTATTTGTTATAGCCGCCCAATTATCACGTTTTGTACAAAATTCCCTGTGAACCGATTGTACGTTAACATTAAGCACTGAAGCTGGTGATGTGACCTTGAAATCTCTCAAACGCTTCTAACTGGCTCGTCCACAAATTAGAGTCTCGCCGGTGGGGAATGTCAGCTCTCCCTCTCGAATGCTCTCACGTGGTCACGCGTATATAACCACTGTCAGGAAAGTCCCACTCACTGCCTTCTCGCGGCACCGGTGTTGTTTACAGAAATGAGAGGACAAAAAGAGAATGTTGAGCACTTTAACTGGTTTGGTGGGTATGGAGGATACACCTAGGCGTGTTGGAAATCCCTCGTTTCAAACCAATGGTGCACATGAACTCCAGAATCCTGGGGGAACAAATGGCATGTGAACAAATTATCGGTCACTGTCTACCATGGGACTGCATCTCCTCTAATATCGCTCCGCCGCCTTGTGGATTAGACCTTTAGGTCGAAGTCTCCGGGTGTGGCCTCCTAAGAAAACCACCTGCTTCGATTCGGGCACCCGGGCCGTATCATAGCACATATACACACAAATCAAGTGACTTGTATGTCATATATGTATTCGTTGCCCCTTTCTACCATTATTTATGTGTTCAAATAATTAAATAAATGTTACTGATATCACGAATCGACCGAAGGGACTAAGTTAGATCTATGACGGGATCATAGATATGCACTATTGATATCTTTTTCCAATTGAGTTTCAATGGTACCCTAATTGAAATCAATCCTTGACGAATACAATCTAAAAATACAGTTAATAACAATCATTTATTGTAATAATAAATAAATATACAATTCAATTTCAATATCTTCTGCACGAAAAGTGTTATACCTAGAGCTTAGATTCATAATATGCCGCGTATAACTTGAGCATTCAAACGCTAGAACCTACCCAAGTCGCGAATGAGAAGACAGAAGACACGTGAAAGGAATGTTGTTCCAAAACAGTGTTAATTATGGTACAGAACTGTCAGGTATTTATAGTTCTTTATTAAAAACAAAATCATCATTATAGTCCTTCAATCCTCATACAGGGAGTTATTAGCATTTGTCCAATAGGGAAGCTACATGTATTGATTTTGAAATATTCTTCCGAAAGCTGACTGGATGGAATATCTTCAGGTCTTTCTGAGCTTCTTAGAGCTTCCTCGAGTTCACCCGTGGACCGTCCTCACATACACACACATGTAAAAACAGATAGAAACAAGAAAAAAATCCTTTAGGAAAACAGTGGAAACATGGAATAAACATGAAAGAAAATTGAATGATTGATATAATATAAAAAGCATTACATTTTTCAGTATGTGAATAAGTTTACATGTTGATAACATCTAAGATCTCTTTCTGTTTATTTGAATTTGTATGTGTTGACTGATGTTTAAGATGTAGTGTCGGTTGCTATGTTAAGCCTATATAACTTATTCTAACTTCTGAACAGGTCAATTTATTCATTCATCTTGAGTCACGTTTTGACTTTGTTATTATTAGTATCAAAAGGGGTTTTGTGGAGATTGTTGTAATTTCAACTGCCGAGGAGTCCCATAATAGGACAAAATGGCCGTCCAGTGCTTCCAGATTTTCCATGGTGTTCTAGCTTCAATTGATTCATGATCTCAACTGTTGAAATTTGTTATTATTATTATTCACTTATCAACCTTGACTGTTCCTACATGAACGTATATGTGTACACTTCTTATCTCATTCATCTTATGTCTGTAACTTATAAGCAAATATGGATAGTGACTAGAAGTGGAATCCAGGACGCGCGTTTCGTCCTATTTGGGACTCGTCAGCTGGATGTACCTGCATCTCAGAGTTGATGTTCACTCTGGGACTCAGACCCAGTCCTTACCATCAATGGGTAGATTCAAGTCTGTAACTTATTTTTGTGTGGCTATAAATATCGATTAATGCTCCACCGCGCGTCATTTCACTTTGCTCTCTTCTCTTCCCTTAGTCCTTCTGATTGCCTGCTCAGATCAATGAGTGTACAAAAAATATGTAATGGGAAATCCATTTTGTATTTGACTTATTTAATCCCATTATCCATCATCTAAGCCGATAATTTTATACGAGAATAGTCATGATGTATATTTCAACAATCAATCATACAATCTAATTGGAGTCAGATTTCGGGTCACTAAGAAAACCCAATTGTACAATAATATTTCAAGGGTTTTATCAGTCTTCGGGAAAAAAATCTTTAAGGTTTTCTTCCATTAATTAACAAATTTTTCACTTAATTTTATATGAAAAATTTTAACGGAAAAAAACATTACAGAATGCTACACAGGGTGTAGAGACGACCACCGGTGAACTCAAGAAAGCTCTAAGAAGCTCTGAAGGTGTTGAAGGCACTCCATTTAGTTATCTTGTGAAAAATCATTCCAGAATATCGACGTGTAGCTCTCCAATTGGACAAATGCTAAAAACCACTGTATGCGGTTGGATGACTGTAATGACGATTTCGACTTTACTAAAAACTATAAATACCTGAGTGCTTTGTATCATATTTGATACTGTTTAGAATAAGACCCCTTACTACTCGTCTTTTGTCTTCTAACTTGCAACTTGGAGGGCTCTAGAGTTCGAGCACTCAAGTTGTATGCGGTATAGCAAGAATAAAAGTCCTAGATAAAACACAGAGGAATGTGTTATAACCTTAAATCATTAATAGATCAAATCCAATAAACACGAGTTCACTCATTCGGATCAGACCAATAACCTTTTGATTCAAACAATAACATAATTCCATTGAAATCATGAACTGTTCAACCTTGAAGCACTGGACAGCTATTTTATCCTACTATTCATGTAAGACCGATGGTCCTGGGTTCGATTCTCACATACCGGGTCGTGGATATACACTGCCAGTGAACTCCATTACTGAGATAAAATAGCCATCCAATGTTTCATGGTTTTCAATAGTTGTCTAACACTGATCAGTTTATAATCCACAACCCCATATCGATAATAACACCACTGACTGACAACAATGATCTCAAAACCATTTGATCAATTCAGCTTTTTTCAATCTCAAATAATCAGTCAAAATTTATTAAAAAATTCAATGAAAGTTATCTGATCAGTGATTGTTAATGTAAGACATTTGTTCAAACCAACTATTCAATAATGACACATATCATTCTTCTCTCTAATGAATCCGACTTATATTTTAGTTCAATATATCTAATTGGTACTTGGATAACATCAGTTGGCAATAGTTCAATTGAATCATCATCATCGTCGCCGTTATCATCAATCCCAGGTCCACTTCAAAATCTAACAACAACAACATCATCATCAATGAATGTGAAATTGATCTCATATCCAAACAAATATAATAGTATATATAAATCTGTACAATGTTTCAATGAATTAATTTGTTGGATTGAAATAGACTATTCATTTAAACAATCTTATATGATAGGTGATTTAAAGAAACAACTTGTTCATTCATTAGTTAATGAATTCAATGAAACACTATCATCATCTTCATTATTGAATCAAATGGATCAAGAATATTTAGATAAATTTCATAATCAATTGAAATGTTATGAAGATCTTATCAAATGGATTCAGCAGGTAGGTGCTTTTAATTGAAAACAAAAAACCTTCTTTCAAATGTTTATAAAGAGATATGATTAATGTGTAACACAGTAGGATCCTTAGATGGTGGTTGGAGGTAGTCAACAGGAAACCCTGGACCCGGGTTTCGTGCTACTTGGAAATCCTGTTGACTACCTCCAACCACCATCTAATCTCATTACATAGTGCCCGCAGTGTCGAGTCACCTAGACTGGTGGCCACATTGCAACATGATCGATAGTATTCGATCTGCACTAATAAGGACTAGACAAGCATGAGATTGATCACCACCCAGTGATCAATCAATTGTAACAGTAGGATCCAGATTTTGTGTTTCGTCTTGCTTGGAACTCGTCAGTTAGATGTACTTGTATTCCAAAGTTAATGTTCACTTCTGGACTCGTACCTAATACTATTCGCTTCAAATGCCATCGTGTTATCCACCTAGCTACTGAGTCTAGTAAATATCAACATCTCTACATCTCTACTGACGAGTTCCAAATAGGACGAAACGAATGTCTTGAACTCCATTGCTAACAACCATTCATCTTTGCTTTTAATACGTGTGACTTCAGGCAATATCGAGGCAATCTGCACAGGATACATATATGCCAATAAGAGGAATATTAGTCGAAATCGTAAACAGTGATAGCAAGAATTAAACAGCCAGCTTTCTAACGTTTGGTTTATAAATTTATACTACTAATAAGTAGAATATCCTATTTGACGAAAGCAGTTTCAAATTCATTTGGTATTGTTTACTTGAATCGTCCCATTGTTGTTTAGGTTTGCAATTGATCAGTCTCTCTTATTGGTATTTATGCATCCTGTGCGAACCGCTTCGATATTGTCCTAAGTCACAAGCTTTATAAACAAAGATGGATGTTGGTTAGCAGTGGGAACCAGGACATGTGTTTCGTCATATTTGGAACCCGTCAGCTGGATATAACTTCATCCCAGAGTTGATGTCCACTCTCTGGGACTCGAACCAAGTGTCGATGCAGATACATCCAACTAACGAGTTTCAAATAGGACGAAACCCGGGTTCTGGATTCCACTGTTAGCCACCATTCATCTTTGCTTAGAGTTTCAAATTATTTACATCAGATTTTATTAATGATACTGGATGATCATTGTACAATATCTTGAAAAGACTGAGGTGAGAAGTTGAATAAGTATGGTTTCATTGATTAGGTCTCATATTAACAAAGTTTCATGATGAACTATTCCAAACCGGTAATCTACATTCACTTACAACCAATAATGATTCAATATGATTTTAATATTTGAAAATGGCTGACAATTCAAGTGAATTTCAATAAAAAACCGTAACGAACATTGATACAGGATAATATTTCGTTAGGTTCTTATGAGCTACTCACAACCAAATTTGTATTAGAATTTCACATTGAGGTAAGATATAGTGTGGAACAATTAACATAAGTGAATATAAAGAATTGGAATGGCAAGGGTTATCAATAATAACTGTATATATATGTGTGCAAGAACAGGTCAGAGGTTATTTGGTGATGCAATCAAGAAAACATTAAGAATAGGTGATGTAATAGTTAGGTTGTTTTCGTTTGAGTTTTGTTCTTTAAGCTGGATGGTATGTTCGTCGTTCATCTGAACGACATCATCAGCACAAACTTCAGGTAGAAGTGAAGTGTTCGAATTTCTCCACATGTGGTTCACAGCTTGTCCTGTACACCTCGATGTCGATTGGTTCTTGTTGATCTTTAACCTGCCATTGTTTACTTCTCTGAATTGGTTGTATCTCCGGTTGGTTTGATTTTCGTTCCTATGTTTGTTCATATTTTCCCTGATTGGTTGATAGACTGGATCGATTCCAATGTGCTTGTTGATTACCGATTGACTTGAGTGCAAAGCTTCTAAAAATTCTCCAGTGTTATTGAAACTACCTCTCTCCGAAACCTCTACATTTGTTCAGTCTAATATGTGTCCGCAGTTGTCCACATGCATTGATATAAGTAAGGATGTCTCATGGCGTTTGACCGCCAATTGGCGTTCATTTAGGAGAAGATGAAAAGAGCGTCCGCTTTGCCGGATATAGTGCTCTATGCAGTTGGCACAATTTACTTCTCAGATGATGTTTGGTTTGTCTTCTTTGATCATTTCATCTATTAATTGGCTATAGGATTGATTGTAGGGATTTGGTCAGTTTGTATTCAACATCTTTTCCAAAGGTTTCCAACAGTCTCGTTGTCGTTGCTGATATACCTTTTATGTGTGACAGGGTGATCCTTTTGTTGGTTTCTGTACTTGACTTTGTTCCCGATGATGCTTGCGGCTGGTATTTTATACTGAATTCAATTGTGTAGCCGTTCTTTTGAAGAATGGTTTTCAGGTATTTTTCTTCATTTTTCCGTGCTACAAGTGTGTTGTTGTGTGTTCTCGTCTTTTTGAACAAAGTTTGTACGCAGTTGATTTTGTGAGCTCTTTAGTTGTTGCTATTGTGGTTGAGAATTTGATCTGTGTTGGCCGGCTTCGGATGTACTTAAGTTTCCAGTTTTCCTGTTTTGGTTCTAGTAATCAGTAAGTCCAAGAATGGTAGTTTGTTGTTCGATCCTTGTTCCATTGTGAGAAGACTTTGTTGATCAGACTGTAAGTGTTTTTCTTTTTGATGATGACGAATGTGTCGTCTACATAATGAATCCAAATTTTTGGCTTCATCACTGGTAAAACCGACGATTCTAATCTCTGCATCACTGCTTCTGTGATAAGTCCTGATATTGGTAGTGAAGTTCAAAGACAGATAAGATAAATTATGTAATAATAATAATAATCTTAGAGGTAATAAAGAGTTCACATAAGATTCATGGAATTAAAAAAACAACAACTGGTAAAATAGATTACGTAACCATTGAACAGAATTTGATGATGCCTGGAAGCACTGGACGCCCGTCTCGCCCTATTGTGGGACTGCTCAGCTGTGCGCATCCACAATCCCGCTCAAGGGACTCGAACCCAGGACCTTCGGTCTCGCGCACGAACGCTTAACCCACTGGACCACTGAGCCGGCGTCCAGAGATGATAGTGTCTAACATCAACCAATCCACGAAATTGAGCGACCAACTTCCATTGTACTGAGAAGACACCTGTTTCTATCCGACACGGATTAGCTCCGTGGATGCGAACTACTGAGGAGTCCCACAGTAGGACGAAACGGCCGTCCAGTGCTTCTAGGTTTCCAACGGTAGTCTAACATCAATTGGTTCATGACCTCAATCAAGAAATTAATAATCTCCACAACCTCTATACTGATGAAAAAAGTTGTGTTTTTTTTAATTTTTCTCACAGGTTCTCAATTATTTAAATCAATTCATAATAGAATTGCATAATCATTATCATGAAACCACATTAGAAGATACGCATCAATCTCATTTGATCAATCCATTAATATTTTTATCTTTACCATTTCATGATGATTTCAGTAATTCTGAATTATGGTTTATTGATTTATGGAATAATCAAATTGTAAAAATGATAAAAATTTTTATTGATCAATGGTCTAATCATCATCAGAAATCAATAAAACAACCGGTAAATTGTATTGATCCAACCAATTGGATTTTATCAACATGGCCATGGCATACAACAAATTGGTTAGAATGTTTTCATAAACATAAACATAATAATACAGATATGATATCTCCACCATGTTTAATACATCTTATTGAATGATGCACATAGAAATACAGTTAAATCTTAATGTTGCTTATATACTACTTACTATTATTAGTAGTAGTACTAGTAGTAGTATCAGAAAGTAACAACTTAAAGTGTTATATATGTTCTTCAACCATACCAGATCAACAGATTTACATAGTTTCATTCACTAGGAAATGTATAATATAACTAATCCAAAATATATCTTCTAAATTGTCCCTTTTTATGTTCAATTTGTATATACATGAAAATAAAGTTGCCTAGAAACAATATGTATACAAAATTATTCAAATAAATCTATATATGAACAATGTGATTTGATTACATGATCAAGGAATATGGATTTTGTTTTTGTTCTGTTCATTCACTAAAAACAAAGAAAAATACATGAGTCCATTGTAAAATTCTATCCAATCAGTATTTGATAATTAATGATGAAAAGAAAATTATAAACAAATTGCTTACTTGTTTATAAATTCCATTTTGTCTTGTTTTCTATACCAAGAAAACTGTTTAAATTCGTTATTCGATTAACACAGAATATGGTATGCAACTAATGCATGTCGAACGTATAGAACCCTATAGTTGTAAAATAGAAAGCTGAAGAATAGTTTGTTGGGCAGGAATCAAAATGTACAAAAAATCATGGGTATTTATAAATATCAACATTATAATTTAGTCAATTCGCAAAGAGGTAATGCTGTGCTACTGTCCAATAGAAACATACCAAATTCGTATTCTAGGAACTCCATCACGTTCTGATTAGATGGGAACTGTTCGGTTGCTTTAGGGCCTTTGAAGGCTCCATCGTAGTTCTAGGAAGCCGTCCCAACAAAAAATCTATCGACGATATTGTTTCGATATAAGGAGGAAAAGTGGGTTTAGAAAGGAGTTTACCAGCCGCATTTTTGAAATTTTTACTGGACGATGTTTGTGTTAAATTTTGTAGTTTACATCACCATGGAAAACCATGAAGTACTAGATAGTTGTTTCTTCTGAGTATGATGGCATTGAGCAACCAGTCAAAATGAAGTTAACCAACGTACGAATCTAAAACGTTGTTGCAGATAGGTCTCTGCAGTTCATAATTTTCACAATATTTCGTACTTCTAAAGGATTGGATAACGATTCCTTTACGGAATGAACTGTTAAGATTGGTATTTTAGGATTAAGATCATGAGTATTGGTGTTAGGAGTTAGAATCTAGGAGTTTGAGTGTAGGAAGTCAGACTTAATATATAGGGTCCTCTAGCGTTAAAAGCCAATGTCTATCAGGCTTACATTACTACGATTTGTAGCCTCAATTATTGATTAATTAGCACTAATTAGTTCATTATTGATAATAAATCTACTAACACTATGACAGTTCACCATTTCTTAAAATATTTTAGGATCTACATGAAATTTGCATTCTGAATAGATATTCCTGACTGGTTATTCTAAAAGTGACAATTGAAATCATCTAAAGAAATCACTATAGTATATTTTTACTAATCCTAACCCTAATTCTAAATTTCATTCCCTACTGTTAACCCCGCGTCCTGACCCTAATCTTAATTTTTTTCGGGATTTCATGTAATAAATTATTCCTTGACACAAGCCTGTATTCGGATTAGCTAAAAATTAGTTTTACTTTGACAAGATTACTTCGAGAATCGCTGAATGTGATATGCTTTCGCTAAAAGTTCTTGATAGAAAAAAAACTAACTCAACAATGAAAACTACTTATTTATATTATCAGTAGGCAAAATATATTTCTGGAAAAAAAGAACACAAGGCAAAAGTTACACACTTATTCAAAGAAACAAAACATGAAAAATTAAATCATCCATGCATAAAAATCACTATAGAAAGTTCATGATTACAAGTTATGGATAGCAAAAACAAATCATAAAAACTGAAAAAAATCTTCAAAAAAAAAGAAGAAAACTTCCATTAAATCAAATAAGAATTGTATCTATGACAATTGAAAGAGAGAGAACAATTCAAGCACATCTAACATACACAAAGCTGATATCAACTTATGTTGAATGTTTTGTAGAATATAAAATTCACTTCACAGATTCCTGGAAATTGAGCACAGAATATAAAAAATGTAATGCTGAAAATGAATTCAATGTATTGAATGTTTTCTGATGGTTTGATTATCTGGATTCGAACAACAACAACTGCAACAGAAATCGTGGACAATTAAGATTCGATTATTAACGAATTTCATTAGTCATTCCTTAAATTTATCGTTAATCATTCTAATTTGACATAGTTAGCAGGAAATAGACCAACTTTATTACGACAAACACCTTTCCACCAGCCTGCATCGATTTTTTCAACCTCTGTAATTATTTCACCAGCTTTAAATGTCAATTCATCATTTTCAGCTTCATGTACAAAGAAAGAAAGAAAGAGATTTGAGAAGAATATAGATAAACAATTATAAGTAAATTGTTAAATAAGTATCATGAGAAATGATTGAATGAGGTTGGGAAGTAGTATACTTCTCGTTAGATAAATTTCGAATTTTAACTATCAAAATTGAAGTGTGAAAGTCGTATAACTTCAACCATACTACTTATGAGTAACCAACATTTTTCGAATAACTCCCTTTCCTATATTTCCTTAGATGATTGTCAGACAAATACATTCTTATGGTCTATACGTGAAGTGTCCTCGAGCATGACTGAAGATCCTTGACTTGATACGCATTATTGGGGAGTATCTTACTATAAAGAAATGGTCTTTCAGTGCTGTCAGGTTTCCAATAGTCGTCTAGCTAAGATCGGTCCATAATTTAAACTAAGCAATATTTCCTTATCATTTGAGGTAACTTCTATCTATCCGACCAAATCGGATTAGTCAACTTGAAGTGTTTTTTTTCGCTGAGTGTTGACTGGTACTTTCGATTTTATCACCTAAATTACCAATCATTGATCGTCATTAATAAAGAGGGGGTTTGTATAGGTTGTTGAGTTTTGTAGTTTTACATTATGGACTGATTTAAACTAGACAACCCACTGAAAATGCACCAGGGATTGAATCCAAGTCTCGCAGCAAGCACCTAACCTCTAGGCCTCCCTACAGGAGCAATAACTATGTGCTCACCAGTACCCAAAGGACGAAATTTTAAGAGTTCCAGAAAGAAGTTGTGACAAGTAGAATTCAATCGCGTCAGGGTGTGTAAGGCAATTACCTACTGAATGCAATGGGAGATTGTCAAGCGGGGTCGCAAAGTGATTGGAATTATACCTGTAAACTAATGGATCTCGGATCTCAATTTTTAACAAAAGCAAGGTGTTAGTCTATTACTTATCAAGAAGATTTCATAGGTTAATTTTCTTTATCTGGATCTTGTACACTACTGATGATATTGTTGTCTAGAAAGGCAATCAGTGAAAGCTGTACGATTAAACCACGCTTAGTACACACAGATAGAGCCCTCCAACTTATGTATAGGTTGGTCAATAAGATATTTGCTCGGAAAAAGTTGAAGCAAAAAAGAAGCATTATCATGCTAAACAAATGAAATTTTTTTCATTTTTACTAATGAATAATATTGAAATTAGCTACGATTCATTAATTAACTGATTTATGATTTGGAGATCTACGGGAATTTCAACAACTAAACAGTGATCAACAAGTATAATATTTATGAGTAAAACACTTCCCCCCACCCCTTAGAATGAAACAAAAATTGTCACTGGTTAAGATAGACAATGTAGCTATCTAACAATTTGGGTCCTGTAAAGGGATGATAGATGGATTATATTAGCTTATTTATAAGTAATGGTACAAACTTCAAGCTAGTGAAAGATCCGTGATTTATAATCGATAAGTAAACAATAGTTTCTTTTTAAATCTACAAATATTCTGTATAGATGAGTAACAAGTAAATGTAAATAAATGAAGACAAGAGTCTATACTGTCAACAACTGACGTTTAACACGACTTATAATGACTATATATATATTCAGACAAATGGATCAGCATTGCTTACCGGCTTCATAATCATACATAGCGGTTACCGTAAACATTTCAGGAACTTGATCATCACTGGCGACAGGGTTATCATGTACCTATATGAAACAAACGAAAAAATAAACATCACCTTACATTAAGAAAAATACTTCGAAATCAGTGTCAGTACTAGTGACAGGTGGACAAGAGACTGATTAATTGGCTCAATTCCAATCAAAATTTAATATGTATTGAATTATTCATTTAAACACAAACATTGGTACAACGAGGCATCAAAGATATATGCGCCACTTTTCATTTCAATTTTATTTGAACACATAGATATTGGTACAAGGAGGCACCAAATACATATGCGCCACACAAATCATTCGATTTGTGTTAAGGCTGGAATACTCCTCGAGTGCCCAGACCGAATCAAATAGGTATCTTAGGCAGCCCCACTCCCCGAGCCTTTGACCTAGAGGTCTAATCCACACGGTAGTGGAGCAACGCAAGGAGATGGAGTCCCGTGGTAGCAGGTGACCAACAATAGGTTCATAATCCATTTATTCCTTCAGGATCCTGGAGTCCATGTACACCATTGGGTTGGAATCAGGGATTTCCAACTTCCCTAGGTGTATCATCCGTACCCACCAAACCAGTTAAAGTGCCGGACATTCGCTCTTACTCCTCTCAATTCTGTAAACAACACCGGTGCCGCGAGAAGGTAGTGAGTAGGACTTTCTTGGTAATGGCAGCATACGCGTGGCCATGTGAGAGCTGACTCTCCTCACCCTTGGCCGTACCAGGGCATTTGGGGGCATGTATTGATTAATACTGATGAATAGCTCTCAGCTTTGATCAACTTGAGCACTACATACGGACAGTGACCTTGAAGGCATATGGATGCATGGAGTGTGTGAATACGATGGCAGAATTTTCTCATGTTTATATATGTAGGTGTTTTGTTTGATGTAATATTCCTGCATGTAGAGCCGACCTTGACTAATTGTGGTAAAGAGCGAATGACAAATTTGAAAGTTATGTCAGTCAAAAGTCACTTCATAACTGATAAATAAAGGTTTCCAAAATTGGTAGTGTTGAGTTTTCTGAGCAATATTTTCAGCATCTACCTCATGCAGAAGTGAGCTTTCCAGTCAGTCCACAAGTGTTGTATCGCTTCATTCCAACGACCATGTCCGTAATTAGCTATCTTCGTAAGTCATGTTGTTTTTATTTGTCAATGTACTCACCTTGACTGATTTTATTGGTTGACCTCTGGCCTAGTGACTCACTGATTTCTTCCATATGATTTTATAGATTAGATCGATTTTGATGTGTCTGTTTATTGATAATTGATTTGAATCCCATGCTTCTAGAGATTCTCTGGCATTCTTGAAGTTTCTTCTGCCTAATATGTTGACTTTTCACCAATCGAATTCATCCCCATGGTTTTTTCCATCCATTGACATCATTGGTAGTATATTATTGTTGCTTAACTGCTAGTCTATGTTCATTTATGTGTAAGTGAAAGGGGCACCCACTTTGTTAAATGTAATATTTCTCGTAATTGGCTCAATTTATTTTGTAAATGTTGCATTTGTTCTCATTTGCTACTAATACTATTAGCAGTATTACTTAACTCTAAGAGTGATATTGATTATTTACCTAATACTGTATGATATGACTTTTGAGCTGCTATTCTACGTGAAAGTATGGTTGAACAGTCTAGTGTATACACTGTTAACATGTGTTCGATGATTAAAGACAGTTGATACCATGTTCTAGACTCAAGTTACATACTAGTTGGCATTGGCCAACAAGGTATATCCGAGCTATTAACTGAATAGATATTCCTTCACACACATACATACATGCAATATTTAACCTGTACCACACACCTCGTGATCACAGTCAAGGACATTTACTATAAATTTATTTAAGGTTGGTACTGACTTCCTCCTCCGTAGGACTCATTATACATGTATATGAACAGGAATTGACCATTAAGCAGTGGCTAATGTCTTTTCTTTATCTAATCCTTTAGCGCACATGATATCAAATAGGTTAGACTAGTGACTGCATTGTAAATAATTTGATAAGTACTATAAAAGACAGTTCTACTGTATGGCGCGGAAACCTGGAGAACTACGAAAGATATCACCCGGAAGATACAGGTGTTTATTAACAGCTCTCTACGCAAAATACTTCGGATCCGTTGACCAGACACTATCAGCAACAACCCACTTTGGGAGAGAACAAACCAGATCCCAGTGGAGGAAGAAATCAGGATGAAGCACTGGAAGTGGATAGGACACACATTGAGAAAAGCACCGAACTGCGTCACAATGCAAGCCCTCACATGGAATCCTCAAGGCCAAAAGAAAAGAGGAAGACCAAAGAACACATCACGTCGAGAAATGGAGACAGACATGAGAATGAACAAACATTGGATAGAACTAGAAAGGAAGGCCCAGGACAGAATGGGTTGAAGAATGATGGTCGGTGGCCTATGCTCCATTGTGAGTAACAGGCGTAAGTATGTAAGTAAGTAATAAAAGACTAGAGAAAACATGATATTGATTAATACTCAGTGATCAAATAATACAAATATCTCAGTCTTATAAGAGAACAGTAACGATTAGAACAGTTCAACAGTGACATCTAAGAACATGGGATCTGATCAACTCGGCTTCAAGTCCCATAAAGAATTAGCAGCTGGCTCACAAGATTGTACATTCACGTTATTGATGAATAATAGCTAACATGAAACTAAAGTCGATAGTTTCCTCTCGACTACTTCCAACCTATCTAACATATTTATATATTAACTTGTATTCTATTGATAAGTTAAATTATTTGCTATAAATATCAATCCTTCAGCATAACTAACAGAAAATTAGTTATCATATGAGAATAAACTTTAATATCAGAAGGACTTTTTGTGGATATTATAGTAATTTCAATGGTTGAGATCATGAGTCAATTGAAGTTAGACATTAACACCGTTGGGTTCCGGTCGGCTCAGTGATCTAGTGGTTAAGCGCTAGCACGCGAGACCGATAGGTTCTGGGTTCGAATCACGCCGAACGGGATCGTAGATGCACACTGCCACGGAGGAGTCCCACAATAGGACGAAATGGCCATCCAGTGCTACCAGGTTTTTCATAGTGGTCTAGCTTCAATTAACTCATGATCTCAACCATTGAAATAAACTTTAAGAAAAAATTAAAAACAAACACTTACATGACTTTCACCGGAAGTTCTTGGTTCATTTTTATCTTCTAACTGATTATATTTATCATTATTAAATTGATTAGATTCAACAAAAGTTGTAAATTCCTGTGAATGTAATGATTTCATGTTATTTTCAGAGTCAACTTGTTTATTCCAATTATGATCATGAATGGTATTATTGTTAGTTGGTTTAATACTATCAGTAAAAACAGAATTCTTTGATACCTGGAGAAACAAACAAACAAAAATGAAAGTGAAAGAAAAAAAAGACATAAATATTACACATATTTTGTTTTGTAAATAGTACAATACTGAAAATCATGTTTACTATAAACTTATGGATAAAATGTGTTGATTGAAGCTAGATCACGATGAAAAACCTAGAATCGCTGGATAGCTATTTCGTACTAATATAGGACTCCTCAGAAGTGCGTATCGATGATTCAACACGCAGGAATCAAACTTGGGACCTACGGTCTTGTGCGCGAATGCTTAACCCGTCTAAACCACTGAGAGTGACATCCAATAGTGTTAATGTTTAACTTCAATCAATCTACAATATTGAGCGACTATCTTCTATTGTCTTCAGTGGATAATTGTTTTATACCCGACACGGATTGAACTCCATTGGTCACGGTTTCTCACTAGAACTCCGAGAATTACCTCTTGAAGCTAGTCACTAGTGAGCACATGATAATTATCAGTTTATTAACAAAACATAGGCAATCAACTGTGATCTCTTTAACACTTCAATCGTAAATATTTCAAGTTAGAGTGATGTCTTGTACCTGAGTTAATATATGTATATATACATATATAATAGATTTTACCCAAAAAGTCAGTATTTCTCTTTTTAAAAAAAATAAGAAGGGACTCAACTTAATGAAATCAATAGTAAAAACTGAAATAAACGTCCCTATTTACCGATTTAACTGTATCAGATGATCTTGACTTTCCTCTGGATTGTTCTTCATCTTCCTGTTGTTCGCGTTGTTGCTGTTGTTGTTTACGTTCAGCATTCCATCGAGTTTGTTCTTCAAGAACGCGTTGTTGAGCGACAGTTAAACCAGATGAATCCTTTACATTATTCGGATTAATTCCCTGTTCAAATCGTGCACGTATATTACTTAAACTACCGTCTGGTTTGAAAATAGGCGCTAAAATGAAGTTGATTATTAATGTTGTGGGTAAGGAGGGAGGGATGAAATAAGATAAATAGTTAGAGTTAAAAAGGAAATTCATGAGTTGACCTAAGCTAGACCACCATTCAAAACTGGGAGGCACTGGACGGCCGTTTTGTACTAGAATGGGACTCCTCATTAGTGCACATCCACGATCGATCCTTCACGCAAAATTCGGATCCAGGAACTTCGGTTTAGGGCGCGAACGCTTATTGAAATGTTGGTCAAGTTGTATGCAATGCTGCATGATATTTAGACTAGAAGTCACTCATTAACGTCTCAACTATCAAATTTGCTTAACATTATAAATGATTAACAGAGATGAATTACACGAAATTCAAGTTGTTATATCTTTTACATATCCCCCGTACTGTGACTACACATTTAATCAGTTAGTCAAATAGAATAAACATAAAAATCTGCTACACAAATGGGTCAACTCAAGTTCTTAGACTGTACTATATAGTTGTACAGATATACAAGATGAGACGAACGAGAGGATTGGTAAAAGAGATCAAGATAAAAATGACAGTGATTAAAATTATCTAGACATAAAGAATATAGTTCGAAGAGGAAGAATGAAAAGATATAGATAAAGGAAAACTGGGACTGAACATCTAGAATGAAAATGAAAGATGAATTTATTTCTGAACTACTGTAGTTGATTTTAAGCTGGAATATAACTCAAGATCACTATAAACACATAGACCACAACCCATTGATTTTTATTTATAAACAAGGCTTACACCAACGATTAATGATTACATGAACTGATTTCAAGTCTTGGTTTGGTCACCCTTACACACCTTTCTTCCAGCTTACTCCTACAAGAGCTAACATCATGCGTCGAAGTAGGCGGTTGTTCGGTATATGTAACATATGTCCCGACCACTTCGGCCAATGAAGACTTATGGTTTTATTAAATGAATTATCATCTCTGTCTAGTATCATGCATCTAAGCTTTAGCATTACCCATCCGGTTGTTCTATTCAACACCCCAGCAATGCTTTGAAGACATCTAACATGAAAATGTGGACACACCATTGCATATTCTGTCAATAAAGAGGATCAACACAAGAAGTAAACAAATCTAACTTATATCACACAGACACACATGTACCTTTCATCTGTGATGGATGCGATTCTGTTTGATTAACATCATTCCAACCAACTGATGATGAATCAACTCGATCTGTCTGTAGACCGAATTTACCACCAAATCCTTTGGAATAGTCCACTTGTGATGGATGATGACTGGATTGTTCATGATGATCCCAACCCAAGGCTGACTACATTAAAAAATAAACAGACGGGCAGACAGACAAAAGCTTTACAACAGTACTATAAAAAACAGAATTATTGCTAATTGGAAGAACATCAATGAAGGGAGCACTGAACAATAACTATGGTAACTAACATTTTAGACTATGAAACTGGATAATATCATTATGTGAATAGTAACACTGGAAAGATATATATAACTGATAAGTCTCAAATACGATGAAACAGCTGTCCTAGGTTCTACTGCTAGCCAAATATAAAAAATACTATAACTTGTAAATAAAGGCTATAATCGAAGTAATTCGCTCAAAACCCACACATCTGACAAGAGGGACTGATCTCAACAACGTGAAATTATAAACCCTTACCAAAACAAAAATGTTACATTAATCCGACCAACTGCTTTCAATATTAAGTGATTCACATCCCTACTACAGTTTTTATGTCTATCACCATCAGTCAGTCATCTAAAACGTAGAACCAGGCACATATATGCATCAGTCCAAGTTGCCATACACCATTAAAACAACAAGATGAACACCGAATTCATAGAAGCAGTTACTTCAATGGTAGTAATGTATATATAAATATTGCATATAAGGATATAATAAAGGGAGAAAGAATTAGTTCGTGGAAAGAAAGGTATAAAGTACATTAATCTCAAGGTTCAAGGGAAAACAAAGAGTGTATACACCTAAGCCAATGTGATCGATTCTGAAGCATGTCACTCAGAGTCTCCAACTATTGGTTACGATAGTCGCACGGACGCCAACGAAGTAGTCCCCATCTACCATCATGACTCATACCAAACGTTAGTGACTTTATGGACTGATGCCACGTTTTGGTTTGACAGCACTTACATTTCTTCCATCGATCTCCAACAATAGTGAGCATTACGCGTCGTGACAATCGGTGGTTGGGTATGCGTAATACGTAACCCAACCATCTCAGTCGATGAAGATTCACAACCTCATCAACTGATTTACCATCATTCCATAATAACCTGCATCTAACCTCACCATTACTACTTACCCGGTGATCCTAGCAGGTGCGAGCAATATTTCTAAGATATCTGTCATCAAATACTAGTAACTTACGAGTATCCTCTACCCTTAATGGCCACGGTTCTCAGCCGTAAAGTAGAACAGAAGGAACTGCTGAGTAGTATGTTCGTCCCTTAATTAATAGACGGATATCTCGCCTTCGCCATAGGTGACGTAATTTGGCGAAAGCCAAACGAGCTTTCTGAATCCATGCAGAGATTTCGTCAGACACCGACCCAATAGGATTGATCAGACTTCCAAGATTAGTTAAGTTTTCGACGCGTTCGACTACTTCACTCTCTATCCTTAGTTCAGGTGTTGACTCAGGCCAGTCTATTACCATATGCTTCCATAAACTTTAAACACGCTTCGTGGATTGGTTGAAGTTAGACATTAACACCGTTGGATGCCGGCTGTGGTCTAATGGTTAAGTGCTCGCGCGCGAAACCAGTAGGTCCTGGGTCCGAATCCCGCGAGGTGCGGAGTCGTGGATGCGCACTGCTGAGGAGTCCCATACCAGAACGAAACGGTCGTCCAGTGCTTCCAAGTTTTCCATGGCGGTCTAGCTTCAATTGACTAATGATTTCAACTTGACAAATCAAAAACATTAAACAATTGAAGGGGAAGGAAACACACACACAATAAATAAACTATCTACATCTTATTTTTATTTACCTTGTCTTGTCGATCAGTTTGTACACCAAATTTTCCGCCGAATCCAACTGAATAATCTTTTTGTGATGAATGCTTTTCTACGGCTTCTTTATGATCCCAACCAACAGATGACTTGCGATTTATTGGTTAATTAAAACAGAATAAAGTAAATGGAGATATAAATACGTTATTACAAACCAAGACAGATGTGATTGGGTAATCGCTCAACATGATAAAACAAACAAATATGTGTACATCAAGTTCTTAACCGATTGATGGAGTATGGTTCCTGACTACTTGAAGAAAAGTTTCTGTCCTTCATGTATCCGATCAAGTACCTTGGCTTCGTCTTAGATAAGAAGGGTCACTGACCAGCGAAGATAATAGATGGTTTCATAAGAAGAAATGTGTTTACAAAGAACACATAGACGGGTCAGTATACCCGTTTCCATAACTTTACAATTCTTCAATACAAAATAAATTTGGTTAAATGCCTCAGCCACAGAATCAGGCTATTAGGTTCTGAAGATAGAGTAGACAGCAAAATAGATATACTAACGAACACACTAAGAAATAACGGTTATCCAGATAATTTTGTCAGAAAATTCCTATTAGAAGGTATCAAAAAAGAAACTGTGACTCGGTCAGTAAAAAAACCCTGTCTGAAACTGGATTTTAAAGGAGACATTTTAACACGTCAGCTCAAAAGACCTGTTGAAAGGACGTTTCACGCAGCCACGTTACATATAATTTTTTTTAACTAAACCCGTACTTACACAACAAATCAACGACAGGTTACCGATGATGGGCTCCACCATATGCATATACTAATTCAACTGCTCCTGTGGACCTAGTTAGATAGGCCTTACTCAGAGGGCTTTATCCTTGTGTTTTCGTCAACCTGCAACAGCATGGTTGACAAAAAGTCACTAAATCGGTTAACAGTACCATTCTATCTCATTTGGTAGATAGTGAACATCACATTAAAATAGATGAAGCTTTCTTTGTTTTAGATTAACTCCCACAGAATCTACCTAAAAGAGCTGGATTACAGCTACTCTATATAGCTGAAGCCATCTGGATCAACTCCAGAAAGACCAACTTATGTATCCAGAAGAGGTATATCCAGCCTATATGTGTATAACTCGGCTTACGACTGGATCACCAGACACCCAAACTGAATATTATAAACCTTTTATCCCCCCCTCCTACTTTTTTTCTAGGTTACATCTTTCTTAATCTTCACATTCATCTTTCCCAATTAGCATGAATTCTTTTTTATCGTATTTACCTTGATAACACCCCTCTTATTAACTATTATATTCACACAACGATATTATTATTACCTCGATCAACAAGACGAAATTCTCCTACTATGCATTTTATTCATACGATTTTTTATTATATTACTATGGTATTGATAATAACTTGACACTACTACAAATCATTCTGACATTTATCAGCATAGTATTGTGGAGATTGTTGAGTTTTTTAATCGAGATTGTAAACTGATCAATGTCAGACCACCACTGAAAACCTGGAAGGATTGGACGGCCGTTTCGTCCTAGTACGGGACTCCTCAGCCGTAAGGGATTGTGGATGCGCACTGCTGAAGAGTCCCATTCTGATATTTATTAAATGACCTTTCTGATTTACAAATAACACAATTTTGAAGTATTTATATCGTAACAGGTGAAAACGTTCAGCATTTTTAACATATAACATTGTTAAATTCATTAATGTATGCCTTATTTTGGTCTTGGTAAAATATCACGAAAATTATGGACTTATAATTGTAGAGCATGATGATGAAGTTATTCAAAACAGTTGTCCGCACAAATATTCTTCATTTTTGAAAAATAGAATAAATGGATGTTTTTCAATGAAATCTATGACACCTATTTCGTCCTATTTAGGGCTTGTCAGCTAGATGTACCTTCATCTTAGTATTGATGTTTACATTGGAACTCCATTAACTTGTCTAGTGAGTCCAAATGTAAACACCAAGACTAGAATACAGTTACATCTAGCTGACGAGTCCCAAATATAGTGAAACACGTGTTTTCAATTCGACTACAAGTTATAATCCATCTACTCCGGACTGCATACACATGCTAACAAAGAGTTAATATATCAACAATGGGATAACTCCAACTTATTTTACAAATAATCATATTTAAAAACTTACTTTATCTTGACGATCTCGTTCAACACCATATTTACCACCAAATCCCTTTGCATAATCTTTTTGTGATGTATGCTTTTCAGTCACTTCAATATGATTCCAATCTACTGCTGACTAAAACACACAATAATAAAAACGGTTTAAACAGAAATGACTAGTATATATTCAACCAGCCAGTCAATCATTAAAAAATGTAGAACCTGGCATATACATGTGTATCAGTTCAAGTTGACATAACATATTAACACAGCGCGATGAATTTACCCAAACAAATACTAGAATGGTAGAAGCTAACGTAGCAGTATCTGTGGTAATTATAAGTGATCAGGTATAGATAATACAATATAAAAAGAATGAATTCGTGAAATGAAAAGTGTAAGCTGCTTTTAAAAATCAAAATATAAGGGGGACGACAAAGAGTCAATGCATCTGCTGTGTGACGGCGACCGGATCCTGAGTTATATATCAATAAATATTTCCAACTGATAAATATGAGCTATTATTTGAACTACAAACAGTTAGTCTCTATCTAAAAATATGATTCAAACCAACAGTTAAGGATTTCGTGAAATGATTCCACATTTTGATTTAACTACCCTTTCTTCTTCTCTTCCTATACCAGTTAACATTGCCCGTCGAGGTAAGTAATTACTAGGCATATATAACACATTTACAATTGATTGATTACTGACTAGTGACCAATATCATGTGTGCCATGTCTTCCTTAGTGAAGATCAAATTCTATCGACCAAGTTGCAATGTGCCCACTAGTCTAAGTGAACTATGTTGAGATGTCAGGTAGTAATTGGAAGTATTCGACAATGAACCCTATGTTGTGACTTTATGGTTCGCTAGTTATCACGTAATCTATTCACCAATCAAAATACGACTTATTCGCCCTTATACTGTACTAAACCAATGAAGTCCGACCGGTCTGATCAGCCTAGAGTCATATTGGTCCGTTGCTCGCCTGGCCCGTCCAGCTGAGTTCAGAATGCCAACAACAGCCTCCACTATGCGAATCGAATCATTTATTTCAGATATACTGGGTTTATATACCAATCAAACAGACCGAAACGCACCATAAAATCAGAAATAACATTCATGCACAATAAAGCCAAAATGTGGCTGTGAACGTGGGAGACAGTAATTAATAAACTGAGTATAACTTAAGAACAGTAAATCGTACAATAATAATCTATAGGTCAAACTGAAGCTTATAACAAGGCGAATATAGATATACATAATCTAAATACTAATTAGTTATACCCTAAGAATATAGAGACAATATTAGTTCATTGATAGGTCTCAGGAGTTACTCGTAATGTAATCCTCGCTAGGATATCACACCCTACATCTAGGTTTCATGCTAATTGGCATTCGTCAGCAAAGTTTACCTGTAATCTTGAGGTAAACGATTATCCCTGGTGGATTCGATTGCGTGTCAACCAGCTTCACAGTCAAAGAGGTTACCACTGAGGTATCTAGGCGGTTGACGTCCTGCTCGAAAGAAATAGGTCTGCATTAAGAAGGATCTGATATACATGACACTGGTCACTACCCAGTAATCAATCAATTGTAAATATATCTCAGTGCTACAGGAGGTCAGTTGCAGCCCGGATAGCTCAGCAGTAACCTCTTTGATTGTAAAGCTGAGTGATACTGAATCGAAACCACCAAGAAAAGTAGATTCTCTCAAGATTGCAGGTAAATCTTGCTGACGAATGTCGACTAGCATGAAACCTAGATCCAGGGTTTTCTGTTTATTACTACCAACCACCAACTTACATAAATAACATATGTTGCAACCGCCACGATCAGTAAAGGTTTGCAAACCATTGAAGTGTATATTTTCCCAAGTTACTCTGTTGCATTATTAATATACATTCATAAATGGTTTCATATCATATGTAAATAAGTTACAAAACAAGTAACACTGTTTAATTGTAATCTGATTCTTTTTATAAGCACAACTCCCCACCGCTGTATTTCCCCCTTACTGAGTGACACAACTCACTATTTCACACTAAAAAAATTCAACTGGTACAGTGTCATGTTAAAAATGAAGATAATAAATCATTCTGAGCAGAGATGGATGAGGGTTAGCAGTGAAATACAGGACGCGCAAGTCCAAAATAGGATGAAACGAGAGTCCTGGATTCCACTACTAGCCACCATCCATCTCTGTTTATCATGCTCGTGACGTAAGGCAATGTCGAGACAATCCGCACAGAATGCATATATGCCAATAAGAGAGACTGATCAATTTCATTCCTAAACATCTTTGGAAAGATTCAAACAACCAATACAAAAATAAATAGATCATTCTCTTAATACAGAAAGTGATAAACCTTCGTATAAAAAAGTAAAAAAAGAAAATTAACCAAAACTAAAAACCTTATCCATTCGATCTTTTTCAATTCCGAATTGGCCACCATATCCATAAGCTGGTTTTGGTGCAATTTTTAATTTTGCCAAACGATCTGCTTGTTTCACTTCTTCTTTTAACGCCATCATACTTTTGATTGAAGGAAAGAGAGAGGAGTAATAGTAACATGAGTTTGAGATAGATTTTGTTGTTGTAACATTTGCGATTGAATTTCGAAAGTCTTAGTAAGTATATATATATATATCTTTTATCATAAGCTTTCATTTGACCTATTGACTACCACTACACGATCTACTATTCCTAAGTTATTCCCAATGTATTAGTTATAGTCTCTCACACTCATAGTCACTTTCGGCTTGATCTCGTATGACTATTATTTTATGGTGTGATGTGGTCTGGTCTGTTTATACATAAACCGCGTATGTCTGAGGAGTACGATTCATGTGGCAAAGGATGATATTTGTGTTCCGGACTCGGGGAGCGGGGTTAGGCGAGGATTTTCTTTATTGAGGACCAATAAGGATTCCGATTTGACTCAAGGCTGCTAGTGCTGGTTTACGTGTCATTGGTTTAGCACAAAAACAAGGTCATATAAGTCGGTGTTCTAATTGGTGATTTCATCACGTGATAACTGACAGGAGTCAAAAGCCATAACAGTATTAACCTTGTCTATTTCTCTATTCGAGTTGTACACCCCATAATTGCCTACGCTGAGTCATTCATTTTATTCGCTGTGATCAGAGTCACTCCATTTATTTGTTAGTTTCTCTTATAATATAATAACTTTGCCTTACTGCACACCTACTAGTTGAAAATCGGACATCACTACTGAGTCAATACTGACCCGTATACTGACTTGTATGAAGATTAATTAACTAATGACAAATAGAAAACAAAAATACTCATAACTTTTATTCCCTTATTCCCAAAAGAAACGAATAATTAAGCCACAATTAAATGACATGTGACATCTGAAAGGTTTGTAATTAAAAATCGTTTAAATTATGGAGTATTCACTTAAGCTACAAATTTTCTTTACATCACAATTCATTTTAACTAGTTCTCAAACACAATAAGTATTGTTAAGAGCTGAATATAAAAACCTGTACTTATTTATTGAGTTGTAATGAGTTTATTGCAATTAATAACTTTTTTTAAAATTACATTACTTACTCTATGGAAGCTTGATGGCCAGAACCAATAACAGTTTTGGAGCCCCATCTTTGTTCTTTTTCTGTTACATCGTTCTATACACAGGAACATAATTATTTGATTTTTTCGTTCATTTTGAAGAGAAATAAAAAAACTACCACAAAATCTGGCTCCGTTTCCCATTCATCATCAACATTCCTATTACTGGACATGATAGGATGAACAATCTAATGCAAGCGAGATAGATAAGATAGTATTAACAGAAAAGTTCACAGTTAAATTTCCAACAATCTAAGCTTGAAATAAAATAAAACAATTAAAAAATAAATTCAAACATTTAAAACACGTATACTGTTGAATACTTTGAATATTATAAGGTAATGTTAATGAAAAGCTATAGAAAGTAACGAACTCGAATTGAATATGTTTGATTGAAATATTAAATGGCCAATAATGAGGTTGGGAATAAGTCACTAGATTTTAAAATAAAAGGCATATTATGTTTCGTGTGATCAGTTACCTTCAAATCGAACTCAAAATGACGATGGATATACGGATAGGCTGGGGATAATGTTAGAAGAGGAGGGTGGGTCAAGATACACTATTTGTTACGAAGTTAGTTGCTGGTCTAAACCAGGTAAGTAGGTCTGAACTTTCCTACTGAAGCTTGTACAGTACCCAAAATTTATAGTTGGAGACATGCTACATTTATCACAGTGGTGCAGTTACATTCTTTCTCCACTTCCGTCCTAAATTTGAGTCGTGCCATTCCTCACTCCTAGACTTTATTTCTACCGTTTGTACTGCAAGTTTATATTCTTATTTCTATTTCCAGTCAGTTACTTACTTACGCCTGTTACTCACAATGGAGCATAGGCCGCCGACCAACATTCTACAACCCACTCTGTCTTGAGCCTTCCCCCTTAGTTCTATTCAATTTTTGTTCATTTTTCTCATGTCTGTCTCCATTTCTCGACGTGATATGTTCTTTGGTCTTCCTTTTCTCCTGTGGCCTTGAGGATTCCATGTGAGGGCTTGCCTTATGACGCAGTTGAGTGCTTTCCTCAATATGTGTCCTATCCACTTCCAGTGCTTCATCCTGATTTCTTCCTCCGCTGGGATCTGGTTCGTTCTCTCCCAAAGTAGGTTGTTGCTGATAGTGTCTGGTCAACGGATCCAAAGTATTTTGCGTAGACAACTGTTAATAAACACCTGTATCTTCCGGGTGATATCCTTCGTAGTTCTCCAGGTTTCTGCCCCATACAGTAGAACTGTATTGACATTTGTATTGAAAATTCTGACCTCGGTGTTGGTTGACAGTTGTTTTGAGTTCTAGATGTTCTTTAGTTGTAGATATGCTGCCCTCACTTTGCCGATCCGCGCCTTCACATCTGCATCAGATCCACCGTGTTCATCAATGATGCTGCCCAGATATGTAAGCGTTTTTACATATTCCAAATCTTCTCCGTCAAGTGTGATTCGATTGTTGCATGCTGTCAGTATTACTTCTTTTGTTTTCTGTTTCGTCGATTTTTTTCACTCGGTTTTGATGTGGGGTGTAGTGATTTGAACAGACATACAGATTAGTATCAGATTCTAGATTGTCATTAACAAATTAGCGAACCATACAAAAATACGAAAAATCCAATCATAAACGTGTTCTAACTGATGAGTAGCTTCATGATTGGCTTTCCTAAATGTTTTCTAATGGAAGAAAATGATCCGCAGAGTTTACACACATTAAACATTAACCATGTATATACATATATGACAGCTAAATCTAATCAAGTTTAAGACCACATTCGAGAACGTAATAATACCGTTCATCTCATGGTCAACACGTAAGCAATTACATTGCCCTTGTGAATCGATTGCAAAAGTCAAAAGCTGCTATGGTTCAGGGGATATTTTTAGTTTTTCCTAACAGTCAGTCAGTCAGCTACAACGTAGGACCAGGCACATATGTGCATCGGTTCAGGTTGCCATACCTCATTAGCACAGCAGGATGAACACCGGAATCATAGGAGTGGTTAGGTCGAAGGTGGTAATATATAGGAGAAAGATTGCATATAAGGATACAGTATAGGAAGAAAGAATTAGTTAGTAGAAAGATATGAAGTGATTTTAATCTCTTAGTTTAAGGAAGACAGGGAGTGTATACACCGACGCCATTGTGATCGATTCTGAGCCGTGTCAACAAGTCGCGAATCATTTACGTGTGAGTACTGAGAAGTCATGAATATATGTAAAAAAGTCTAAAGCTAGATCTTGCAGTACGTATGAAGGAGAGTTGGCATACGATAAACGCACTGTCTCAAAACGATTTCTTTTCACGCATTAAGCAAAGAATAGAACGCAGTGACGGATTTCCCTTAATAATGTTGCACGATAATCCATCTATACTACCTGAATCAGATATGACAAATGGAAGTTTATCAAATTGTTTTGACGAGGTCTGTTCTGAAAATGTTTTTATCAATACTTTCCACAGTCAGTCAGTCAGTCAGCTACAACGTAGGACCAGGCACATATGTGCATCGGTCCAGGTTGCCATACCTCATTAGCACAACAAGATGAACACCGGATTCATAGGAGTGGTTAGGTCAAAGGTTGCAATAAGGATATAGTATAGGAAGGAAGAATTAGTTAGTAGAAAGATATGAAGTGATTTTAATCTCTTAGTTTAAGGAAGACAGGGAGTGTATACACCGACGCCATTGTGATCGATTCTGAGCCGTGTCAACAAGTCGCGAATCATTTACGTGTGAGTACTGAGAAGTCATGAATATATGTAAAAAAGTCTAAAGCTAGATCTTGCAGTACGTATGAAGGAGAGTTGGCATACGATAAACGCACTGTCTCAAAACGATTTCTTTTCACGCATTAAGCAAAGAATAGAACGCAGTGACGGATTTCCCTTAATAATGTTGCACGATAATCCATCTATACTACCTGAATCAGATATGACAAATGGAAGTTTATCAAATTGTTTTGACGAGGTCTGTTCTGAAAATGTTTTTATCAATACTTTCCACAGTCAGTCAGTCAGTCAGCTACAACGTAGGACCAGGCACATATGTGCATCGGTCCAGGTTGCCATACCTCATTAGCACAACAAGATGAACACCGGATTCATAGGAGTGGTTAGGTCAAAGGTTGCAATAAGGATATAGTATAGGAAGGAAGAATTAGTTCGTAGAAAGAAAGGTATGAAGTGATTTTAATCTCTTAGTTTAAGGGAAGACAGGGAGTGTATACACCGACGCCATTGTGATCGATTCTGAGCCATGTCACCAAGAGTCTCCAACCATTGGTTACGAAAGTCACGCGGACCCCAACCAAGTAGTCTGCATCTACCAACATGGCTCAGACTAGAAGTTAGTGACTTCAAGCACTGATGCCACGTTTTGGTTTGGCCGCCCCTAACTTTTTTCCAACCATCCCCTACACCGGTTAGCATTGCACGTCGTGGTAATCGGTGTTCAGGCATACGTAATACGTGGCCCAACCATCTCAGTCGATGAAGATTCATAACCTCATCAACTGATTTACCATCATTCCCTAATACCCTGCGTCTAACCTCACTATTACTTACCCGGTGATCCCAGCAGATGCCAGCAATATTTCTAAGGCATCTGTGGTCAAATACTAGTAGCTTACGGGTGTCTTCTACTCTTAAAGGCCATGTTTCGCTGCCGTAAAGTAAGACAGAACGGACTGCCGCGCAGTATACTCGTCCTTTTATTGATAGACGGATATCTCGCCTCCGCCAAAGGTGACGTAAGTTGGCAAAAGCCAAACGAGCTTTACGAATCCGTGCTGAGATTTCGTCAGACACCAACCCATTAGGGCTGATCAGACTTCCAAGATAAGTGAAGTTGTCAACTCGTTCGACTACTTCACTCCCTATCCTTAGTTCAGGTGTTGACGCAGACCAGTCCTGAAGCAACAACTTGCATTTAGAGGGAGAGAAGCGCATCCCAAACATTCTGGCATTGTTGCTTAGTGCTACCAGAAGACTCTGCATTTTGTCAGCGTCTTCACCAAACAGGACTATGTCATCTGCGTATTCTAAGTCGATAAGTGGACCTCCTGGAAGGAGATCAATACCCGAGAATTCAGTCGACGAGAGTGTTATTTCCATCAATAGGTCTATGATGAAGTTAAACAAAAATGGAGAAAGTGGGCAGCCTTGACGGACACCACTTGAGGTTGCAAAAGTAGATGACAGTTCGCCATAAGCCCTGACTCGACTAGTAGTGTTCGAGTAAAGAGCCTTCACAAGGTTTATGTACTTCTGAGGTACGCCTTTCAATGACAGACACTGCCACAGAGTCTCGCGGTCTACAGAGTCAAATGCTGCTTTTAAGTCAAGAAAGACCACCATCGTCGGACGCCGATAGGTATGCCTGTGTTCTAGAACCTGACGAATGGTGAATATGTGGTCGATGCAGCCACGACCAGGTCTAAAGCCAGCTTGGTTCTCTCGTGTTTGTAGTTCACGAGTCTTAGTTAGGCGTTTGATAATTATCGAGGCCAGTATTTTAGATACTATGTTTGTTAAACTAATCCCTCTGTGGTTGTCACAGGATGATTTTGACCCTTTCTTATATATTGGGACGATAAGTGATTGCGACCAGTCAGATGGGATAAAGTCTAATTCCCAGATCTTAGCTAAAATATTAGTCAACCTAATCGCTAAAATTGGACCACCATCCTTAAAGACCTCTGGAGCCAATCCATCTGGACCAGCTGCCCTTCCTCGTTTCAGATTAACTATAGCCTTCTCAACTTCAGCAAGAGTTGGGGGACCTACTTCAATGTTCCATTCACATTGTCTGGGAATGGAGGGTAGTTGTAGAGTAGCTGAAGGCCAGCTGAACTGTTCTCTAAAATGTTCCGCCCATCGTTCTAAACGTCTGGACTGGGAGCAGATGAGAGTATTATCTTTTTCCGAAATAATCTCACTTACACTTGACTTATTAATTCCAGTTTCTTTTATTAGTCTGTAAAGCTGTCTTGTGTTCCCTATAGTCGCCGCCTTTTCCATCTCTTTTGCTTTCGTTACCCACCACTGCTCACGGTCGTTCCTTAGACTTTTTCTTAACCTAGATCTGATTTGTTGTCGCTCTTCATCATGTTCGGAACCTGATGGGACGAGTTTGCGAGAATCCATCAGTGTGACAGACCTTGAAGAAATCCACTGGTTCCTTGTAACTCTGTGGTTTAAGTCACTAATAGATGTCACTGCTGTTTCCACAGCTGATTGTATGCCCTTCCAAGCAACATCTGGGTCAGCCTCGTCTTCACAACTACCTAAGTGTGACCTCAGTTGTTCCTGGAACCTACTTTTGGTTTTCTCGTTACTCAACTCAGTTCTAACGGGTCTTTTTAATGTGGCTTTTTTGCGTCCAGTGAGGCGCAAGCAGATGCGTGCCCGTATTAGGGCATGGTCGGAGTCCAAGCAGGTACTCCAGAATGAGCGACAATCTTCTACCGACCCTCTCCAACGATGACTGATGGCAATATGGTCTATTTGAGTCCATCGTTGGTTTGGTGTAGGGGGTCGCCATGTTAGACGATGTCTCTCCTTATGCTTAAAATTTGTGTTTGCTAAAAATAAACGATTGTCTGAGCATAGCTGCAGCAGACGATCACCATTATCTGTTCGCTGTGTCGGAATACTAAAATATCCACCTAAATGCCTTTCTGTTTGGTTTAAGCTACCTATCTGAGCATTAAAATCACCTGCTACGAGTACTATGTCTGAGCGTTTAGCTTTCTGAAGAAGTTCGGAAAGCTTTCTGTAAAATTCATCTTTCACTTCATCTGAGCTGCAGTCAGTGGGAGCGTAGGCAGAAACGACAAAAAGGCAACGACGTGTGTCCCTATCCTTCCGAGTTCTTACGCAGCCGTTCAGCCGAACAGCACATAGACGACTGTTGACGGGGATCCACTCTAGCAGTGCTTGTTCGGCCCTCATGCTTAGTGCTATGCCTACACCTGCCAGTCCACGAGAACTTGCCATCGGGTCACCAGATACACGAAGGGTGTATCTCGTTGGCTCTCCGTTCTGCCGAGGTGAGGTCAAGTGAATGACCACACTGGGATCCTGTATGCGTGTTTCAGAGACACAGCATACATCAATGGAAAGAGACTCTAGGGTTTTAGCCAAGGAAGCCTGTTGACCGATTTGACATAGAGTGCGTACGTTGAAAGCTCCAATGTGTAGTTTGGAGCGAGGTTTCAGTAGACCTGGGACAGAGTTTTGAGCACTAGAATCGTTGGCTATGGTGACACTTGAGGAGGAAGCCAAAGGAGGAAGTTTAGGGTTGAAAGTCGATGTAGGAGGAATAATAGGAATTGAAGAGGAAGGTTGATTATGAATACAGTGGTCTTGGGTGCTGTTAGAGGTATGAGGGCGGTTATCACTTCCCGGTTGCCCACACCGTGGAAGGGTTCTTCTGGAGGTACCTGAAAAGGAAATTGGATTAGAGGTGGCCTCAGTGACCTGAGAGCGTGACCGCAGTGCCCAAGGGACAACTGCTTGAGGCCGGTCGCGCACGGCCTTTTCGTGGAAGGTTTTCGACGTGTTAGCTCCGTTCTTCAAAGGGCCTTACCGCCGGAGACGGAAATCCGTGGGGTAAGGTGAGGTGTGCATTTTTAGGGTCGACCTTTTCTAACCCCACCCCTCCTTGTGGGAAGGCAGCATCGCTGTCATGCTGGTTGTCTGAAGGAAACACCTTACTGCTGTCACACCTCTGTACAGTCAGCAGTACGACTTCGCCTTCGGACCTTGGGTTTGTTGCTTTTAGTCTTACCGCTCTTCAACCGACCTGTCTGACATGGTAGGACCTTGAGGAACGGTTGTTCCAGCCAGTATAGCTCGGTTGCTTCATCACGATAGGCAAGCCCGACCACCACGTCAAGGTAGCAACAACGGTCGGGATACTTTCCACAACCACACTGCTAAGGTACCAGCCACAAGACCAGTGTTTACTACTCAGAGAGCTGTTCTTCAATTATTTGTCCACCTTAAACCTGGTACGTTGCCGAGGCCCGATGAGTTATGACTACGACTGGTGTCATTCCTTGCGGACACTATTTCAGAATCACTCACAACACTGTTTAACATAGGGATTGAAATGATGCCATCGTCACCCTTATATTTAAATGCGAAAGGAGACATATGGTGTCTATCGAACTGTCAGTCTAAATAGTACATTAGTCAAGTTACCTGAAAATTGGCTGAGATGTTTCCGATTTTATAACTGCTTACTTGAAACCTTACTCCGAATATTACATCTAAGCAACTTTTTCATGTCTTATTAGGGATGTTACCGCACTCCAGTGTTTAGCATGTAGGAACTAAATACGTTACTAACGGGTTTTTCTAAACTCTCCAACGATGAGCACTTGATACGTCTAAACTTTTCCCCTTATTATAGACGGCGAGTTGACCTTATGTCGGTATTGTGTCTTACATATTGATCTGGATGTTAATATGTCCTACCTTTTGACCTCACTCAGTCAGTCAGCTACAACGTAGGACCAAGCACATATATGCATCGCTCCAAGTTGCCATACCTCATTGGCACAACAAGATGAACACCGGATTGACAGAAATAGTTGATTCAGTGGTGGTAATATATAAAAGAAAGATTGCATATAAGGACATAGTATAGGAAGAAAGAATTAGTCGGTAGAAAGGTATGAAGCGGTTTTAATCTCATTATTTAAGGGAAGATATAGAGTGTATACACCTACACCATTGTGATCGATTCTGAGCTATGTCACACAGAGTCTCCAACCATTGGTTACGATAGTCACACGGACCCCAACCAAGTAGTTTGCATCTGCCAACATGGCTCAGACTACAAGTTAGTGACTTCAAGCACTGATGCCACGTTTTGACCCCACTAGAACAAATTGTCTCCAAAGTCGCCATAAGGTTTAAAAACCACGATCAAATAAAGTCGGAGTGGAATTAATTTTTACCGAGTAGTCAATGGCTGGCACACCCTACTCGAACAAGTGGTACCAGCCTCATCAATGGACACTTCCAAAGGGAAGCTAGATCTACACTGGAAGAAAAGCAGCAAGGATTAACATAGACTCAGAACCTTATAACTAAGAAGTACAATAACTTTCTGAATCTTCGCGAACCTTCCAGGTTTACAAATACCCAGTTTTATCAACACAATCAAGTTTACTTATATTGTTCAGAACCAACGAAACGAAGTGATAATACACTGTAATATTTATTTTGCATGGAAACTGCCAACCCTACGAGTTGACTGAAGATTAAAAATGAGGGTATTAATGTAATAGTTGGTCATAATTGTTAAGATATTATTAGTAGCAAATAGGTACGGAGAATACAATAATGTTAGAAGTCATCCAACCAGTTCATAATACCGTGAAAAATGTTAAGTAAATATCTATACGTCTAGCATCTAGACACACTGTGTAAGGACTCTAATAACACTACTCGGTTGCCGAAACTGTCAAGGTAGAGTGGGGTTTGAATGTACAACTCATTGGTTGAAAGCCAAGTGGTTTAACCGCTAAATACTCGTGGTCTATAATCAACATCTCCATCTTATCACATCGACTTAACAAACCAAAAACATATCCTTGTCTGGATCCATATCAAGGTCCAATATTCACCCCTTTTATGAGATATGATGTAACTATGTTAGAGACTAAGCGTAAGTATATAACCTGTTTTATCAAGACTGCATGTTTTGTTAGATGTATTGGGCGGATAAGAGATAATTATATGGGCAAAACACGTGGGATAGGGAAACATACAATGTAGTAACGTAAGTATTAATGAGTGCGGAAATTTAGTGTTCGACATTTTGTTCAGTCTTCAGTGATAAAAATATATTACATTTCTGAGTCCAAATTCTGACATTTAATTAGTCACTAGGAGAACCTGCGTGCTATATACATTCTGTTCTTCCTTGGCTTTTAAATTTGCCAGCTACATTCTCTGAGTTGTCCCATGGGAGAAAAAAGGGGTATATCAGCTTTAAAATCAATTCAAGTATCCCATGTATCAAAATTGGATCACCTCCTTATCCGCTATAAGGCAATGCAAAGAGGTCTAACCTATAAGTCTGGGTTACATATGGCAAGCAACACTGCCTGGAACCTACTAGAGTAACCGTTTTCTAGTCTTCTTCCCAGTGATTGAAGTCACCTTATTATAAAGAGCTTTCTTCCTGTGCATAACTTCTTGATTTGAGCACCAACATGATTTTATAAGTCATGATCAAAATAGTTGTATCTGAATAGGTGAAAGTTCTTGTCCATACAGTTTGTCAATGTAAATAAATCCCCAAAATCAGTAGTCATGAAAGTCTTCGACACTGGGTGCTGACTACATTAGTTTTAACGGACCCACCTGTCTGAAGGCACCAGATCACGAATGGGTACGCCGTGGTACGTATCCCTTTCAACTACTAGCCAGATTAAACCAAACGTTCCTTCGACATGCGGATAGCCATCCAAATAGGCTATCGGGAAATAATAATAACTTAATTAAATACGGAGGTTCTGACATTAATATCCCGCTTACTAAAATATTGTATCGGTCCTATGATTCAAGCATTGGAAAACTACATACATCATCCCTTATTTTAAAAACGAATCTAGGCTGGATGTAGACAACTATAGCCCGATTAACCATACTTCCATCATATCTGGAACTGTGGAAATTATAAGCATAGATGGATGGTGGGTAGCTCTGAAATCCATGACGCTCACTTCGTCCTCTCTGAGACTCGTCAGGTGGATGTACCTCCATTCCACTGCTAGCCACCATCTATATTTGCTTGTAGTCCTTGTGACCTAAGACAATATCGAGGCAATCCGTACAGAGTACACATATACCAATATCAGATTGATCAACTGCAGTCCAAGACATCAGCGAATAGATTCAAATAGACAATACGATATAGACAAGATTATTGGGAAGGTAATTAACAATCATCTAGATAAGCACTATTTGATTATACACTCACAACATGAATTTATTTCCAAAATGTCTTGCATAACCTGTGACAAACTACTTTGACCATGCAATAAACAGTAGGGATAAAGGGAAGCTAGTTGTCACTCTCTGCTTTAATTTTACTAAAGCGCTTGATAAAGTACAGTACTCTTCTCTCTTATTTAAACTAGACTCTCGGTATTGATGGTCAATTGCATAATTAGATCTCGTCTTTCTTAGAAGATCAAACCCTGATGGCAAAAATAGAGCAACACTTCTTTGACTCTCAGAACATTACCAGTGTTGCCCACCAGGGCTCAGCCATTGGACCCATTGCTCGTCCTGTATATTAACGACATATGCGACTGCTTTACACCTGGCAAAACCTTTCTATTTGCCGACAAACTTTAATAGTACATGTATCCGACCCATGTCTCAGTTTAGATGTCAGCTGTATAATACGAGTAATTCGGTTGTCAACTTAATCTCAAAGACTTTAAACAAGCTCATCAAAGCAGGACAAATATCAAAGCAAGGTCAGTGGAGAACGAAACCCAGTGGACCAGTACTCCCTCAGTTATACGGTAGGCCGAAAATACACAGACCAAACATCTCATAACGTCCAACTGTAGAACTCCCCTGAACTACAAAATACAGTCCGACAGGAGAAACTTCACGAATATTAAAACATTTAGTGGATTTATCCAATCACTTTATCAAATCCCTCGTGCAATTCCTCGGACAGATTAAAGAACTGAAATAAACAACGACGAGATGACGATATCCTTCGATGCAACAGACTTATTTACCTCAAATAAACCAAGCTTAGCAAGAAACTCCATCCCCGCTTCTCACCAAAGACACAAATTTCGCAAAGTACACGAAGCTTAAATGTCAAAGTTTACTAAAACTCATCGGTTTGTGCGTAACAACATATTTTTAATTCAACAACAAAATACACGAACAAACGAAAGGAACACCGATGGAACCAACAATATCAGGACTTATCACAGAAGCAGTGATGTACAGATTTAGAGCCTCAATTTTACTAGTGATGAAGCCAAAAATTTTCATTCATTATGTGGACTACACACTCGTCATCATCAAAAAGAATGAGCTAGAAAACACTTACAAGCTGATCAACAAAGTCTTCGATGACAATATGCTAACAGTGGAACAAGAATCGAACAACAAACTACCATCCTTGGACGTACTGATCACTAGAACACTAGAACACAGAAAAACTGGAAACTTAAGTACATCCGAAGCCGGCCAACACAGATCAGATTGTCCACTACAATACCAACAATCCAAGAGCTCACAAAACCAAGTGAGTACAAACTTTGTTCAAAAAGGCGAGGACACGCTGCAACACACTTGTAGCACGGAAAAATGAAAAATAATACCTGAAGACCAACCTTCAAAAGAACGGCTACGCAATCACCTTCACCATAAAATACCAGCCACAAGCATCATCGGAAACAAAGTCAAGTACAGAAATCAACAAATAGATCACCCAATCACACATAAAACGTATATCAGAAACGACAACGAGATTGCTGAAAACCTTTGGCATAGATGCTGAATACAAACTAACCAAATCACTACGAGCAATCCTATAGCAAACCAAAGGATGAAATGGCAAAAGAAGACAAACCAAACACCATCTACGAAGTAAATTGTGCCAACTGCAAAAAGCACTATATCGGGCAAAGCGGACGCCCTTTTCATCTTCTAAATGAACGTCAATTGGCGGTCAAAAGCCATGAGACATCCTTACTTATATCAATGCATGTGGACAACTGCGGACACATATTAGACTGGAAAAATGTGGATGTTTTGGATATGGTCAATTCCGAATACACCAGAGAGTTTTTAGAAGCTTGGAACTCAGGTCAATCGGGAATCAACAAGCACATTGGAATCGACCCAATTTATCAACCAATTAGGAAAATTATGCACAAAAATAGGAACAAACATAAAAAAGGATACAATCAAATCAGAGAAGTAAACAATGACAGGTTAAAGATCAACAAGAACCAATCGACATCGAGGTGTATGGGACAAAATGTGAACCACATGTGGAGAAATTCAAACACTTCACTTCTACCTGAAGTTTGTGCTGATAACGTCGTTGAGAAGAACGATGAACATACCATCCAGCTAAAAGAATAAAACCCCATCAAAATCCTCTACATGAGCTACAAATCTCAACCAACTCATAATCCTTTATTCCTGTTATATGTTCCCAAGCAGGCCTATTAATTTGTTGTGACCTACTTTTATCAAGAGACCGCGATTGATTTAATAGAAACAGTCATTATTATAACCAGCTGTTTCGTGCCTATAGGTAACCCTCGTGCTATTGACAGAAGAAACCAGACACGTAGTGAATAGGTCTTTATTTCGATCTTCGCGCAGTCACAGTGGAGCGTGGGATTATCTGTTCAGACAAACAAGGGCTCTCAACATTCAATATAACATAATAGGGAATATAACGCTTATAAAAAATAAGGAAGTGAATGAATACTTGAGCAATACTGTTTTGGCATATGCTTGGTTGTTTGGGGTCGACTCTTAACCAACCAATCTAAGCTGTTATATTAGCTTCCCCCTAGAATCGACTTCCATAGGAACGTCGGTTCGATTAACCTATCTATCGAAAACACCTTAGTTCTATTTCTCATCCCAAAGGAAAATTATCAACTAGCTCACTATTTGACTTATAATCAGTGACGACTAACGCTGTCAGCTGTCAACGATAGTCCATGGATGTCTCTTCATTTACTAGCTTGTCATCTTATTTTGTAGCATGTGACCTCTTCTGCAACTATCGCTGACGGTTTGCTGCGTGCTTTCAAGAGAAAGAGTGTGAGAATGTGGAATAAGAATATCTGAGGAAGTGCCGCGTTTCTCAGGCCGAATGGCATGCGTACAAACTCGAATAAGCCAAAGGGTGTAGTAATAGCTGTCTTGGGAATATCTTCATCAGCCACCGGGATATTGTGATATGCCCTGACTAAGTCAATTTTAGTGAATATGTTCATACCCTGTAAACCGTTGGTGAAATCTTGGATATGAGGTATTGGGTACCTATCTGGTACGGTTTGACGGTTTAGGGCTCTGTAATCCCCGCACGGTCGCCAGTCACCTTCATTCTTCTTTGGGACCATATGCAAAGGGGATGCCCATTGACTATCAGAGGGACGGATAATACCCAATTGTAGCATATAATCAAACTCGGCCCTAGCGATTTTGAGCTTATCTGGTGCTAGTCTCCTGGGTTTTGCAAACACCGGTGCACCTTCGGTTTTGATAGTGTGACTTACTTTTAGTTTGTCTTTAGAAGGCTGTGGGTTTGGTTTAGTTAAGTTTGGAAATTCCGCGAGTATATCTTGGAATTTCGCTGTTGTTACTGGAGGAGTTTGAATCAAGTTAAGAGAGCTGATGTGACTTTCTTTGCCTTTTGTGTAATACGAAGTTTCTTTTAGTGTTAATCGCCGTTTCTTGGTGTCAACTAGAAATTCGTATCTCTCTAGAAAGTCCATCCCCAGTATTGCCAGATCTAAGTCGGCTACCGTGAAAACCCAAGGGAATTGCCTCCTGAACCCCAAATCTAGGGTTAAAGTTTTCTGCCCAAATGTCGCGATT